CCGTCACCGGAAGAAAAAAGCGTGAGTTGAGCCGTTTTTAATTAATTTTCGCTTAAAGTAATGTCTCACGATAGTTTAAACAATTTAATTATTTAAATAGATATTATAAAACCAACATTACTCGCAATTTTTCCAACTCCGTTTGGACTTTCTGTCTCGCGACGATTTCTGCTTTCAATTCATCGATAAGATATGCCCAATATTTATTAACTTTAGAATATTCGATTAATTGCGATAAAGATAGATATGACAGAATACGTTTTCCAATAGCAGATGGTAGTAATTGCAGCTAAAATAATAAAAGGAGTAATAATTCTAAGTTTTTGTAAGATATATCAACAAATATACAAGCAATATCGTACAAAATCAACTGTCTCCAAAGCTTCAGGTATCGGCCTGTCTACCTTCCAAATCCTCTTCTTAGTTCCATCATTAAATGTCGTCTCGATCTCTTCTAATTTGAAACTATCACGAATTAACTTGATAGTACCGTTCCAAATGACCATACAATCATCTAACTGAAACCCAACATTTTTAACAATTATTAGATTTCAGAAGTACTGTTTATATATTTCTTTCGACAGAAATGCGAATGTTAAGATGGATGTGATGGATAACACGAATGGATAAGATACGAAATGAGTATATTAGAGAAAGTTTGAGAGTAGCCCCCGTAGTAGAGAAGGTAAAGAGTAAAAGGTTATCATGGTATGGGCATGTTATGAGGAGGGATGAATCACATGTTACAAGGAGAACGTTAGTTATGAGTGTGGAAGGGTACATCGGTAGAGGTAGACCTAGAAAGAGATGGATGGATTGTGTAAAAGGTGACATGATCAAAAAGGGAGTGATGACTGAGATGACGTATGATAGAGTTATGTGGAGGACAAAAGGAGTAGAATAAGGAGATGATGATGATGATGACCTTAACAATTTTCTTTAACGTTCAATAACGTCACGGGAACCAAAGTTCCCAAGAAAGATTACAATTACACTAAGTAGTATATCGACAGCAGGTCACTACAAACGTCAGCAAGCAGACGTTGGCTTAGCGTGCCACTTTTACGTGATGCAGGCACTAAAGGGATTTATTGTGAAGCAGTACAAAACGTATTTTTACACTCAATTTGCATGTCTATCGGGATTGCATTAATATGGTCACATTTTTATTGTTTAAGTATTTTTTTAGTAATTGCTATTAACGCGTGTCAACTGTTCAACTTTTTTATGTTTTTGACTAAATTAATTTAGCGTTACCTTTTTTTGCGCCTTACTTAAGCTGGACCCATCAGTGGTAGTCACTTCTTTTATTGCACCAAGTGAATCACCGGTCTTACGACGAAGCGGATCCTTTTTCTAAGGTAGATACCAACATTTTTCTAATAATATACTGAAGACACCACAAAATACTAGCTGTTCCTGTGCGGCTCCATCCGCATGAAATTATAAAAACTTTATTTTATTGTTTACATTTGTCAAATTGTCCAACTTTAATTACCATTATCATAATAACCTTGCTTCGTTAATGTTGACAGCTTGTAGTTTATGGTCCCTTTCCCACATGGTTTTTATTCAAATTATTTACCCTTAAGTATAATAGCGTGAAAATATATAGCCTAAAGCCTGTTGTGAGAGTAGGGCTTTTTATTAAAGAAAGAATTATTCAAAAACATACTGTAATTGCTGACATCTTACGCCACAAAGTAGTGTGTTTTTACGCTTTATTATAATAGTATAGATTAAATAGGAAACAGAAATTATTATATCAGCTAAAAACATCAGACCTGATGAGCTATGTCTCCAAGTTGCGATGTCTTGCCACGTTGCACCGATTCAGCTACAACCATAGATTCCTTCAGGTTATCAATTTCGTATTCTCTATAACGATCGTAGATCTTCTGCGCACGCGCAAACACCTGCCATAACACGGGCCCACCTGCCATTGATAACAGCTCCAATAACATCAGCGCTTGAGCTTCCTTTAAAAAGAAACAATGTTATAAAAAGGCTCACACAAGTATCAAGGAGTAGTCAATCTAACCAAACATACAGTCTTTATTTTTGACTAACTGTTGCTCGCGACTTTGTTCGCGTGTAATAAAAAATAATAAAACGATATCCTGTGTTACTCATTGTTTATCTACCTTTGTAACAATGAATGATTAAAATCGGCAAATTAGTTTTTGAGTTACATACATACAAAAATACAAATCTTTCCTCTTTATAATATTAGTATAGAAGTATGGATTGCAATCTGATTACTGAATTGTATTTTTTTCATCAAGATTAAATATCAATCTCGAGACGACCGACGATGATTAAAGGGAGATCTAAAAGTAACTTACTGGTTCTAAGGAAATAAACCATTTTCTATCGTCCGTCATAACTTGTGTAAGAATGGACACGGGCAGAGCAGTTCTGTTGTGATCGAATGGTGCTTGGTCGTAGCAGCTCAGTACTTTACGTCTACGAAACATCATCATAACATAATAAATAATTCTAAGATTATTGTGCGATTCAAAAAACAAGAAAGTGACAACCCTAATGGTACGGAAATCATTATTCAAAAGCTAATAACGTATTCTAGAGAAAGAAAAAATAATGTAAGTTATACCTGCTTATAGAAAACACAGAATCTTTAGGTCGACTATTCCAAATCGACTTCAATAATAAAGATAACGTCCATGCGCTCCGCACGTCTTCTAAAAGAGCTAATAAATATAGCTTCTTGTTAACAAATGAAATTCTTTCAAACCAGCTCTTGGTCACTTCTAAATGATTTTTAAACTCTTCATTATCCTCGTAAATACACTCTGGAATGATACACGTGTTACTGCAATTTGTGCAAAATGCTCGCCATTACATCAGTTACCTTTAAAATGTCAGACCTAAATCCGTCTTTTGTTACCTGATTTGAGGTGTAAGGAATAAATAAATAAAACGTCTACATCCTGTGCACTTGTCACTGTTGGGTCAAGATATACTTGCGGTTTTGTATCGCAATTTTAAAGTTGTTTGGACAACTGATTATTAAGCAAGCGATATGTAACGAATACTTGTTTGTTCATAATCATATGAAGTTGAGTTAAATGCATGTTCTAGTTATATTTGTTCACTTTAACAATTATAGCTAGCTTTGAAAGTAGATGATTACAAAATCTTTACGTTTTTAACTAAGTCCAAATCAGGTTGTAAGTAAAAATTTTGTTGAAACGTACCACAGCACATGTCGTCTAAAATAGATTCATTGATTGCATTGATCTTTGAAACTACTTCTACGAATGCCATTTCATTTGTTCACTTAAAACTTCCAAATTGTGAAAGTATTCTTTATAAGAGTTCATTAATTTTACTGATTCTTTGCCGCGTTACTGTCAAATTGACAAAAATAAACTTTTTTACTAATGCACATCAGCCAGCTGTAATTTTAAGGCCATACAATGACCTTTTTGGGCTGACCGGTGTCGATTTTATATATGCCTGGATGTCAGTGATTGCTTGTGTTATTTCGTTAAAAATTCCTTATTCAATGTATACGCTGTTCATTTCAATTCGTTTCCAGGGTCAAATGTACAAAGGCAATTATTTTGTTAAAGTACTCCGTGGTCAGTTTGAACTGGCCGATGTTCTAGTTACGAATGTTACGTTGACGTGATGCTGTCAGTCTGTCAGTAGGCAGCTGCCATGACGCGAGTCGGCACACAAAACCAATTTCAGGTTTCAGTAAGGCCGAAAAGTGCTGATTTCCGTCGTTTTATTTGTATACTATCTTTTGTTACACTTTTAGCTATCGTATACTTGATTATAAAAACTCCAATCGATTCATTAGATGATCCTTCTGATCAGTTTTTAGTTAAGAACATACCGGCGACTTACACGAAACTAGAAGGTATAGATCCGGATGAGAGAGATGTGTTTGAAGGTTTTAGGACATCTTTTTTGCCAGAAGAAGAGATAATGTTAGCGCAGAGGATATCTAAAAGAGATGTTTACAATGGTAATGTGACAAGTGACAGTTTCATTTGGGGGATTGTGGACAATCAATACGATACACCGAATCGTGTTAAGCGTAAAAGTCATTTTACTTCTAAGGACTATGAGTAAGTAGAAACTTTTTAATTACTGCACTGGGAGTTGTACACCAGGAATACCTAGATTCCAGAAAAAACAAAAAATCAATTGCTTTACCTATAGTAGAATCCGATGTAATAAAGAAGCCAGAATTTTTATAATCGTGGTTAGACTATAATTCAAAATTACTGCAAAACACTTGGTGACCTCTTATTGTCTCTACGAATAGTATTATCATAGAAACACATTTGTTTATTTTAGTAGACAGAGTCATACGACACAAAGTAGCGCAGGAGATGAATATTACGATGATTACATTGACGACTACAGTGAAGATGCTGAGCTTGGAAATGCAGATATCAACAAGAATCATGAAAAAAAGTAAATATTTTTTTTTAATTTAGATAACATTTGGTCTTTTTTTTTACTCTATAATCTGATTGTTTGTATTCAGTGCGATATTTCAAGAGCAGTATGTAGACAGAGGACCATTGGACGACGTGGTGGAGCAAGTAAGGAGGCAGCCAGAGTTAGAAGAAGGTGAAATGGGTTCCTCTGCGCATTTATACAAGCCTTCCAAATCCCATACGGGTACCTAGCTTTTAATGCTTTACTTTAATCTTGCTTTCGGGAAATTGTGGCTTTCTAATTGTCTTTTTGATACTAATCCAACGTCATCGCAGCTGTTATGATCATTCTTTGTTAATCTAGTGTTCTATACCCAGTATTCGTTCTTTTGCTTTTTTACTATCTTGATCAAAATCATTTACTCTATCAATATTGAGATTCTTAACTAATACTATTATATATTAATTACTTAATAAAATAAAAATTTGCATAAGTTTTTTTGTGCGTGAGGTATTCATGCCTTCTGGAAAGGTGAAGGTGATCGGTTAACAATAAGAAAAACACAAGCAATAATAATGAAACGATATATGGATGCCGAAGCGGACCCGTGTCAGGATTTCTATCAATATGCGTGTGGTAATTGGGCGTCTCTGAATCCGATACCAGCTGACAAAGCGGGGTAAGACGAATATACTATTTTAGAATGATTTTGATAATGTTATGAATGGGTAGTAGGCCCAACTTCTATCCTATCAAAGCCTAATCTCTAAGTTTCGGGATTTCCCTTTACACGATCCTGGTTCATCGTTCTCGTTACGTTAATTGTATTACTAATCTGCGTGGAAATATTTCACATTTGCACCAATAAAATAAATTATAATTAGTGTTATTTTTAGATACGATACATTTGAAATGCTAAGAGAAAATTTAGATACAGTTCTTAAAGATTTATTAGAATTTAAGAGTTGCGAAAATCTTAAAAGTTCGTATCCAGGTGAACATTTAGATCTTAGTGAGAACTTTTTGACTCAACCAAATCCAAATAAATGTTCAGATAAACAAAACACGCTGTTTAATGTACCGAGAAGAGGAAAAATTTTTAAAGGGCATGATAAAATTATTAGTGATTGTGCTACTAGTAAAAAAATAAAGAAATTGATTGAACCTTACCAAGAGTATTCGGATATTATTAGTCGTATTCGTCGATACTTGGACCAAAAGCCTAAACAGATAACTGGAGTTGGTAAGAAAACTAAATATGGAGTGCGTAGTAATCTAGCAAACAATATTGTATCAAAAATTGATAAACAAAAATCAAAGAACACGAAACACAAATTTGATAAAAGAAAAAGGGCCACACAAGAAAGTACTAAGAAAACTCACGTTGGTAGAAAACTACAGATGTATTATACAAGAGTGAAAAAGAAACATAACCATGGAAAGCCAGTTAAGTTAACGCGAGATGCAACATTAATGAAACCAAATGATCCCGCGAACGGCGATGCGGCATTAAAATCAAGATTCTTATTTGCGTCCTGCATGAATCATGAAATTTTGGAGAAACGTGGTCATCAACCATTGCTGGATTTACTTAACCTGCTCGGTGGTTGGCCGATATTGAACCAGCAATGGAACAGCAGTACTTTCGATTGGTTAGAACTGATGGCGAAATTGCGAGTTTACAATAACGATATTTTAATATCAGAATGGGTCGGACCAGATATAAAGAATTCGGATGAATTTGTCATACAATTTGATCAGACAAGTTTAGGTAAGAAAACAAATTAATTGCATTGCTTATTTTATTATAATGATTCTAATACTTCTGTTACGAATATAGGTCTGCCTACAAGAGACTATTTTTTGCAAGAATCAAATAAAGTGTACTTAGATGCTTATAAAACTTACCTGGTAACGATTGCCAAACTTCTTGGAGGAGATCCCGATCATGTTAGAGTAAGCGCCGATAAACTTATTTCTTTTGAAATTAGGTAAGTAAAAGTTTATTTTATATGTATTCTTAGAAACGTTCTGAAGTTTCCATTGATGATCTCTAAAATCTGGCCTTAAAAAAAACCAGTACCAATTTATACAGACGTTATGATAAAAACGCTGGAAGTGTTACTGAAAAGTAAATTTATCCTGAATTGCAGTCTCGCTAGAATAACATCAGCGCCCGAGGACAGGCGGAACGTATCTGAAATTTACAAACGAATGCCTATTTCCAAACTTATAAAACTTGTACCAGAAGTGGATTGGATTAAATATTTGTGCATTGTAATGAACAAAACAATACATAAAAATGAGACGATCGTATTATTTGCACATACGTATGTTCTGGTAAGTTTAAGAAAGACATTCAGTGAGTTTGAAAATACATAGAAGAGCACGCGCACGTTTGATTAAAATATCGCACAACTGTTTAGTCTCGCTTTGATTCCTATGAGTTTATATGGAAATGCGCACACTACTCGACTTTAGTTGTGCTAAACAGTTGAATTGGCTGCGAAACAATCGACAATCGCACAAGTTGAGCGATTGTTTCAAATGTGTGTATCCCCTCTAAGGCTGAACTAAAACAATCAATTCTTTTTAGCATCTTGTAAAATTAATACAAGAGACGGATGCAGATACGTTAGCCAATTACCTTTTATGGCGATTTGTGAGACATCGTGTCAATAACCTCGATGATCGTTTCCAAACTGCAAAACAACAGTAAGAGTTTTATTATTATTTTTATTTTATCGATATTTTTTAAACCTAAATAATTCAGTATGCAATTTCAATAATTTTTTTAATATACTTTAAATATATGTGTTAATATGAAATGCACTACAACTTTATTTTCATTGCTTCATATTTTCAGTGCTAATTAGTCGCCATGCTGGTTTACATACGTAATTTAGTATTTCAATTAAACAATTATTAATACATTTTAGATTCTATTACATCCTCTTCGGTCGAGAAGAAGCACCGCCGAGGTGGAAGAACTGTATATCCCAAGTAAACTCTAACATGGGGATGGCTTTAGGATCGATGTTTGTTCGTAAATATTTCGACGAGATGAGCAAGAACGATACACTTACAATGACTAGAGAGATACAGCAATCTTTTAGAGAAATTCTCAACATGACTGATTGGATAGATTCCGGCACTAAAAAACTAGCTGGACATAAAGTCGATTCTATGATGCTTAGAATCGGATATCCAGATTTCATTTTAAATACAGAAGAATTGAACGAAAGATATAAAGAAGTTAAGATTCATCCTGACAAATATTTCGAGAATATTTTGAATATATTACAGCATTTGACAAAGATGGAACAATCACGGTAAGGGTTATTATTGAAAGCGGTAAAGTGTTTAACTTACATTGACCCTTGGTTTCTGCTGTCGAAATACTTATATGAAAACATATTGTATTCCTCTCATTCTTTCAGTAAAACCAGCGACAGCAATAGATTTTTCTAGACGTGTTTAAACAGTGTGAAGTACGATTGATCTGATTGTTTTAATTGCAGTATTGGGCAGCCAGTGAACAAATCATTATGGAATACAGCGCCAGCAGTCGTGAACGCGTACTACAGCCGAAATAAGAACCAAATAATGTTTCCAGCTGGTATTTTACAGCCGCCTTTCTATCATCGTCACTTTCCACGCTCGCTTAACTATGGCGGCATTGGTGTTGTTATAGGTTCGTGTAAATTTAACGTCATTTTGTGTTAGCTCATAATCACCAGTTCACTATACGTCTCCACCGAGGGGCTGGGAGTCTACCCTAAGTTAGGGTGTAACACTACATTCGTAGTAGCGTTGGGGGTCGCGGCTACGTCCCAAATGGAGATGCCATTACCCCTCATTAGCGCTGTCGGACACCACCGAGGTTTTAGTTGGTGAAAACCCAACATTACTCATCTTTAACCCTATAAAGATGAGTAGGAATTTCCCCAATTAAAAAAAGGTGTAACACTAAAGCTATGCCAATCTCATTTAGCAAACTTATTAATCTGAAAATTAACTGTAACTGACGTTATACAAATATTTTCCAGGTCATGAGATCACTCATGGATTCGACGACAAGGGCCGTCTTTTCGACTGCGAAGGTAATCTACACCGCTGGTGGTCGGACCCCGCTATTGAGGCTTTCCATCGCCGTGCTCAATGCCTTATTGATCAGTACGGAAGATACGTGGTTCCTGAAGTCAACATGAAACTTGATGGAGTTAATACACAGGTCAGTCATGTACATGTGACATTAAATAACCACTTCTCTTATTTGGTGACGATTATGCAACATAGACTGAAAAATGTTGTCTATGTCTGTGAGGAAAGAAGTAATTGAAATTAAAAAGTTAAGGGAAGTGTGACATTTCACACAATAATCTTCCAAGTCGCCAAGACAAATCAATGCGAGACAAAAATGGAAAGTATGAGTCTTCAAATCTATACTCGTCAAACTAAATGCGGACGTGTGTTATGTGCTTTATTTTTCAGGGCGAAAACATAGCGGACAACGGTGGTGTGAAGCAAGCGTTCCACGCCTACCTCAAATGGCTGAAGACACACGGCTCAGAAGACGAGACTCTACCCGGCCTCAATCACACGCACACGCAATTGTTTTTTCTTAATTTTGCTCAGGTATTACCACCATTTATAAATATCTTTTGCATTTATCGTTGGTTTCCATTGCCATAATACTCTTGCAAAACATATGGTTTTCTCTGTTTTTACTTAGTGAATTATTGAGTTGTTTGACGATATAAATCCTTGGTTAAATTATCAACAGGTTTGGTGCGGGGCAATGCGACCTGAAGCAATGAGGAATAAACTGAAGACAGCTGTCCACTCCCCTGGCAGGTTTCGCGTCATCGGCACATTATCCAACTCTCAAGACTTCGCCAATGAATTCAATTGTCCACCTGGCTCGCCTATGAATCCTAAACATAAATGTTCGGTGTGGTGATATTAAGGGTTCTCAAAGCCTAATTGCCTAATGATTATGGCAGTAGGAAACTAGTAATTTGAACTGTCTACAACTATGATACTCTTTGACCGCTGTAAACTCTGGTTAAGAAGTGTAATGTGAAAGCCTTATATTAAATTATTTATGTACAATTATTTAGGCTTTGTAAATGCGATAGGTATTTTATATGATTATTATGTTTAGAGTAAGTATATTTCTTTTTTAATATACGAGTATTTTAGTGGTAATATTATTATAGGAAAGTATTATTTATACGCTTAACGAGTTCCTGATAGTTTTACATAAATATATTATATTAGCGAAAAAGTTTTTGTTCTTAATTATATTAATTAAAACTACTTCTATAATACTCAGACTACGTATTTCCCTTGATTTAATTCGCGATTAACTGTGTGTAGGTAAGATGTTAAACTTCGTCAATATTCAATTCTAAGAAATCTTCGAGTTGAACTGAAAGATGTAATCAAGCCATCTTGGCAACGGCGGATCCAGCTTTAGTTGTTCATCTTGGGACGATTTACTGAAACCTAATTTTAATGAAACGCATAGACACATTAACCATTACTTTCATTTCTATGTTTTCCAAAAAAACGAATGTACAAATTACAAGTAACAAAAAACAACGCAAACACATTTTAGGAGTCACTTTTGATAATTTCTCACCATTTCACAAGGTTTAATAAACAAAATTAGACACTTCAATGCTGGGCACCTCTTCATTGCTCCAAAGAGTCTTGACTTCTTGCTCCAAGCCGCATATCTTCACTTGTTCGTTTGCTTCCCATCGGAGACATACCAGTCTTACCACCTCCAACCACAAACGTAACTCTGTAACTGGTTAAATGGATTTTTAACTAGTTAATGTCTGGTACAAAGAAAAAATCTTGATTATCTGTGCTAAGTTTTTTTGATTTCGTTTTTGAATTTGATAGTCTAGATCAACTGCATGTTGTCCCTAGTTTTCAAAGAAAAGGATAGTCATTTGAGGGTCTACCACGTATATCTATGTGATAGTTACGAGAACCTATTTGTAACGTCATCGAGTAGATTTGTAAATCGATTGGTTGGTGGAGTTAACACTCGTTTTGGTCACTGTATACCTAATGCAAAATTTTTCGATAATGTTACGAAAACGTTCCCACGATTCCTGGTAAAGCCTGAGCGTAAAAAAAATCTTAGACTCCCCGTTCACTTACTGAATAATAAGGCGAATGACGTTAGAAACAATGTGTTAATGTCTTCGTTAGCGACGTACATCGTGTACAGGAGGGCAGCGCACGTCGGCAGCTGACGCAGAGCCAGCCCGCGCAGTGTCACCCCCATCCAGGGTAGATACATGTACTCGCAAGTAGGATGACGCTGGACAAAGATTACAAGCATGTGAGTACGATGTAGCCTGCAGTATAACCTGATGCAGAGGACGATGCGAAGGAAAAACAACCTAAAGCGAGTAATGAAGAGCGCAATGTCTTGATATAATATGGAATATTGCGTAGAAAACACTCTGAACCTTATTAATTTGTTAAATTAATACAGGCGATGCTGGCCGACGAACAAGGGGGGCTAGCCAACGACCAAGGGAGGTGAGAGATAGCCGATGGTTAAAAGGGACTAGTAGTAAAGATTCAACGGAAGTTGTTTATCAACACGTATTTTAATGAAAAATACGTTTTATGATTTTGTATGGAAGGGAGAGGCAGTTGACCAGTTCACATAGGCGAAGCCTATATCGTAGTCTACAAAAACTATTGCACAATATTTGTAATACGGTAACGTAATGGTATCAACATTATTATCGCTATCGATTTTCATATCCGGTAACTTACGTCTGTAAAATCACTCGTCATCGTTGTGGGCTATGAAGTCAAAAGTCATTTACGATAGCTGTCAAAATGTTGAATTACTAAATAACAATTTCGCTGAGGTAATTCTAACAATGATAACTATGATATCATGATGGATGATATATATACTTTTATTTATATTTCCTATTAAGTACTTTGTTAATAAACTACGTGTCACCCGAGATTCCGTCTGAGCGGAATAAAAAAAAAACTCAGTAGTATGTATGTTCTTCCAGACTATGTTCTATGCCTTTTATCCCTAAAAGAGGTGAGGAGGAGATCCATTCAGTTGTTCTGAAGATACAGATTTAAATAGATTTTTTTCATTCACTAATATTTCTAGTTCACACCTCTAGTAGATATGGTTTACAATAGGACGGCGGAATTCGAACCCTCGATCACGTGGTCGGACGTCCGTACCCTCATCCATTACGCATATGGCTTTTTATATTATTGACTAATTAAATAAATAATTACTTGAAAAATATCATTTAAGAAAAAAAAATGTTTTTTTTTTATCACAAATACAATTATTTTAATTGACATATATACATATAAAAGTAACTATCAGCACTTATCATTTATAAATGGTTCATTATTATTTTACTCTTTATTCAATTCGTAGTGCAATTTAAAAGAAATGCTAAAAGCACGAAAGTACATAGTGAAGAAACATTTTGAAGGTGTACCGAAGCGGGATGATTTTGAAATAGTGGAATTTGTACTGCCAGCTTTAAAACTCGGTGAGGTTTTAGTTAAAACTGAATGGATCAGCGTAGATCCATACTTACGCGCTCGCAATGCTATGTATCGCCTACCGTTCGACCAATTTTCATCTCAAATCGGACAAGTTATAGAAAGCCACCACAACAAATATCCCGTTGGTACTAAAATTGTATCTCATATCGGTTGGTGTGATTACGGTATAGTAGATATGAACGAAGAGGAACCACTCAGAACTTATAAACTACCAGATTTTGAAGCCCTGCCTACGTCTTATGGAATTGGTGTTCTCGGTAGACCGGGAGCGACTGCTTATTTTGGACTTCTAGATATTTGCAAACCAAAGTTTGGAGAAACTGTTGTCGTAACAGGTGCTGCTGGTGCAGTAGGTTCTTTGGTAGGACAAATCGCTAAAATTCAAGGATGCAGAGTAATCGGTTTCACTGGCTCGGACAAGAAAGTAAGAATTTTAGAAGACGAACTCGGTTTTGATTTTGCGTTTAATTATAAAACAGTTGATATTTCAGAGGTTTTAAAAAATGCAGCCCCCTATGGTGTTGATTGTTACTTCGATAATGTTGGTGGAGAAATAAGCAGTGTAATTATTAAAGAAATGAATACTTTCGGAAGAGTTGCTTGCTGCGGCAGTATAAGTTCATACAATGACAATCCAGATAAAATGTCAAAAGCATCAATTGTACAACCATTTATAGCTGGTAAACAGATTCAACTTGAAGGTTTTAATGTATCAAGATTTGCCGATAGATGGCATGAAGCTTTACCAGTTATTGTTAATTGGATAAAAACGGGACAACTCAAAGTAAAAGAACATGTAACGATAGGTTTTGATAACGTATTTGGTGCCTTCGTAGGGATGTTAGCAGGAGAAAATGTGGGCAAGGCTGTTGTTAGAATGTAATAACGTGTAGTGCGCTAAACTATAGAAAAAATAACTAATATTTCTATCATATTTACCGCAAATCCAGAATTGCATATCAAGAAACAGGATATCAAAACTAATAATGTGTCTGAAGCTTCAATACAGCATAATATTTCTGTGAATATACGAAATGATAAATTCAATACAACTTTTTAATATAACATTTTGATTAAAGGCAAAGAGTTTATCAAATCATGACCTAAACTTAGTAATCAAATGTCACTCAACACGTCCATTATAATTTAATTGGAACTGTTTTTGATATAACATTACAAAGCACATTGATATTAAGGTCAGGTCTTGTTTTGGGAAAGTGTAAATTGGCATAAATTGTACTTACTAGATACATCTATATCGTCTACATACAATTTATATTCCTCACTCAATAAAACAATATGGAGATCGTGTTCCAAAGTAGATTCGTCAATAGTTACAACTTCCATCTTGACGTTCGCAAGCAAACCTAGCACTAAGCATACGAAAGTCAAGAAAGAGATTGATAAAGTAGATTTAGATGTCTGTACGTGCATTTGCTCAGCTGCAACGAAAGATTTTGTCCATAAATATTGTATACTAGTATCCACGTAATCGATGAGAGCACCCAATAACGGAACCCTAGATTTAGAATATGTCAGGTATTGAGGACAAGGTGAGTCACCACTGGCCATCTTTTAAAATAGCCTTAATTTTGTAATTTGAAATTTCTAATAATCAAAAGTTGAGTTTGAAGGCGTTACATTTAAAATTGACAAATGTCATCATATTAAGTCGGAAATGTCAGTGTAACAGATGCAGACACTGATCTGTACATATGGATAGGTCTTCAGAATATTACAGCTTTTCTTTCCTCTACCTTTGCCTCTATTATTTGTTCCAATTCCCGCAACTTTGAATGGAATTGTGAACTTATGGCACGCGACAAAATTTTGGGTCCACTGCTGAACAGAAAATTCATTATGCACTACGAAAAAAAATTAAGCAGATATTTATGAGCGAAAACGACTTGATTCCATACCCTACAGAATGTACGTAATAATCACTAAACTAAAATTTGGTAACATTTTTTGGATTTTTTTTGAAATAGGCATGTTGATACGAAAAAGGACACCATTCGTGATCTAGATGAATCTATTCTAAAAAGATCACTACATACTTGCTAATTTAGGAAACACTGCTCGTATTTATTTGATAAAGACGTAATCTCGGATCTTGTAGACTATTTCAATATGTACAATGCCATACTCTTATAAAGTTACGATTACGCCAAAACAAAAAAAAACTTACGACAAAAGTCACAAAATGATTTATTGATCACTGTTACGGCGATTTCCTGCCGAATCATCTCTATAATTATTGAGGTCCTTTTCATTCTCTTTGAAAAGAACAGAGATAATCGATGATAAGCGCAGAACCTTCAAGGTCAAATATACACCGCGACGACAGTATAACTGTTTTGTCAATGGCTAATGTTTTCATTATTCCCTGAGCCTTACGCTAAGCTGTTGTGTGAAAAATACTTTTTTCATAATTTTTTTCAACAATATAACACGCAAAACCTGAATTAAATGTAAGTATCTTCGATCCTATCCAATGTGTATGTTTTAATGGAATTACCATGTAACATGTAAACTCTATCATCAGTCTGGAGTTTTTTTCTTTATTTTATTCATAACTCTATTTAGCAAAGATTTAGGACTAACGTCCAATAATTTTCTTTGTTTCTGAGTTTCAAACCAACCGTTATATAAATTGAAAATAAATATGATAACGTGATCAAATTATTATTTTTTTATTGTTAAAAAATGTTTTAATAATGATAATTATACAAAAAAACGTCAGGCATATAAAATTTTGACATGAATAAATTTGTTTTAACCTTTCAAGTAATTTCGTTTTAAAATATCACATAAATAGCTATTATTTTCATCTAGATTTGGTAAATCATATTTTACAATCCATTTACTTTATTATTTAACTCTGCAATTCAATTATTATTAAAATAACCATTTTTAAGAGAGTACACATAGAAAGGGTAAATATACTCTTTTCGTACGTCTCTCTGTCTCTCCTCTGTCGAAGGCAACCAATGAATCTGCAAATGCGGGTGTCTATCACAGAGGTCATTATTTCGTTGAACTTCTCACACAGCAACTTTGCAACTTACCCACCCCTAAGTCGTAGCTATAGCAAGTGTGAGGCTTTTATATATTACAAAAATATAAAAAATATATTACAAAAACATAAAAAAATATATTACAAAAATATGCTGTGATTGCCGAAACGTACGAAATAAACTGTGTATTTATGCTTTATAACATTAGTATGGTAAAAGAAGGTACATGTATTTTACTAATTGGTTTTTCCAGGGAAGTAAAACAATTTGCGAAATACTAGATTTACATATTTAGTCATAAATAGTGAGGCAATCGTTTGGAAATTATAGTTAGTCTATTGTGAAAATCAAATAAACACAAAATACGACAGTTTATAGCCTGTCCATTTTAAGGGGTCAGTGGCTTTTGCTTGTCAGACGTATTGATGTCGATGTAGAATGTTCCAATATATAGGTGATTGTGGCGCCCTCACAAAAGGGTTTTTTATTTCCGGTCTGGCTTTGACTATAAATATACCTAATCAATTTATCCGCGGAACTATACTCATTATTAGATAAGATAATTTACACGATATTTTCACAATCAATAAAAATAACATTACAATTCTATTTGCAGTTGAACTTCTACCGGTCACAAATCATGGTCAAGGCAAGGAAATACGTGGTGAAAAACTACTTCGAAGGAGTTCCTAGACGAGAAGACTTTGAATTAGTAGAATATGAACTACCTCCGTTACAAAATGGTGAGATCCTTATAAAAACCGAATGGCTCAGTGTGGATCCATACCTACGCGCGTACAATTCAGATATCAAGGTACCTTATGATCAGTTCGGGTTCCAAGTTGGAGTGGTACAGGATAGTAAGGATCCCAGGTTTCCTATAGGCATCAGAGTAGTAACACACTTAGGTTGGAGTGATTATACCATCGGTAAAGATGGAGATTTCAGTGGGCCCTTTAACCGTATATACGCCCTGCCCGATCTGAAAGGTCTTTCGCCATCTTTAGGAGTGGGTGCTGTAGGCATGCCAGGAGTAACTGCCTATTTTGCTTTCCTCGAAATCTGCAAACCAAAAGCCGGCGAAACAGTTGTAGTGACCGGAGCAGCAGGAGCTGTGGGATCTCTTGTTGGACAAATCGCAAAGATTAAGGGATGCAAAGTAATTGGTTTTGCTGGCTCTGATGATAAAGTAGAATGGTTGGAAAAAGAACTTGGATTTGACAAAGCTATCAATTATAAAACTGTTGACGTCACTAAAGCTCTGGAAGAAGCCGCTCCTAATGGCGTTGATTGTTACTTCGATAACGTTGGAGGGGAAATTAGCAGTATTATTATTAATCAAATGAACAGTTACGGAAGGGTAGCTGTATGTGGTAGCATCAGCTCGTACAATGCGGATGCGTCAAAGTTGCCTAAAGCAACAATTTTACAGCGAGCGTTAGTATCTCAGCAAATCACGGTGAGTGGGTTCCTCATCTGGGAATGGTACAGTAGATGGCAGGAAGGGTTCGCTCAACTTGTGGACTGGATCAAGAGCGGACAGTTGAAGGCCAGAGAACATGTGACAGAAGGTTTTGACAACATTTTTGACGCATTCGTTGGAATGCTAGCTGGTGAAAACAAAGGAAAAGCTGTGGTGAAGGTTTGAACAACCAAAATAATCCTAATGTATCATAATTTAAATTAATTATTTGTATTTGTTATGTTTTTTTTTTATTTCTTACAATATAGTAAGATTAGAGGTGTGATATATATTTTTTGGTTGAAATATATAATAATACATTTTTATAAATAAACTTAATAATAATTAAGTCCTTGTTTACTTTTCTCGTCAACATGATGTCAAAACTTTGCTTGCACCCTATATATTTAAGTTTGATTATTACGTAATATTAAGTGTAAGCCGAGACCGTAGATTTTTGCCTTACATTAACTAAAGTGGCGTTTCTCCAGTTTTACAATTTAGGGTGTGTAATAATTAAATAGATGGCCCAATAACATTTCATACATTATTATGATTAGGAATATTTTCCTTAATGCATCTTGTTTAAGATAAGATAAACCTTTTCTCTGACAATTTTTTTTTACATAGATCTAACTCTTAAATATGATATACAGAAAAATAAAAAGTATTAAAATTAAAAAATAACAATATGTATATAAGTTATTTTCAGCATCCAGTTGCTTTGTCAGGTTGTCCTTCGACAAGGCCTCCCCTAGATTCTTCCATAATTCCCTGTCCCTAGCTAGTCTTCTCCATCCCTTCGGTAAGTCATCATGCCATCTCTTTATTTGACGTCCTCTGTCTTTTCCCATCCCTCGGGTTCCATTCTATTACTTCTCTAGTCCATTTGTCCTTATCAGTCCTCATTATATGTCCAGTCCACGTCCATTTTAGTTTTTTGATTTTTTTAGAAACGTCGTTTACTTTTGTTTTATCTCGTATTCTTGGGTTAGTCCATCGATCTCGTAATTTGATGTTAAGCATGCTTCTCTCCATGTGACGTTGGCAATGTGACAGTTTAGGCGATTTTAAAAAGTAAGTACAAAATTCAATTTCTATTTTAAGTGTTAGCACTAAGATTTCCTCCTGGACATTAATCTATGGATGCTATATGGGAGACAGCCATAAACAATATAGTTGTGTACAATTGATTCTAAAATATCTCGCTTCAATTTAACTTAATGCAGAATAGACAGTTCAAATTGTGTAATATTTACTCACATAATATTTGTAGTCTAAAACCGAAATGTTTTTGCATTGTCATTGAATAAACTTCATGTTTACTTATTTACTTATACAGTACTATGCTATGTATTTAGAGGTAATAGTACTAATTGATTGTCTTCCACGTAGAGTCTGATAAGGCATGTAGCAATTTGCATGTTTTTCAATAATTTAACATACTGAATTGTCAATTTTTTTCTCGATTTTGTGACAAAAAATATTCCATTACTAAGATATTCTCTCGCTTCTTGGTCAATAAAATACAGTCAAATGGATTATTTGTATAGACCAAAGCGCCACCTGATCCAGCGGACATATGTGAAACTAAATCATGATAGCTCACTAGCGCCGTCTTTTTACGCAATTTTTAATAGATGCAGGATTTAGGTAGTAGACAGAAACAACCAATAGCAACACCTCTCACCGGGCTAGACTTATTTAAATGTCTAGCATACCAATCTTAGTATTATAAATGCAAAAGTTTAGATGTTTGGATGTTTGGGTGTTTTGATGTTTGTTAGTTTGTAGTCTAGTGTAGTGGGAAGACTGATGCAGTCTGAACGGATATCAATGGAATTTGGCATAGCTGTGGAGCATAGTCTGGTAGAACACATAGGCTACTTACTTTCTTTATAATTGCACGCGGACGGAGTCGTATGCGAAAGGGAGTACTTTATAAGTTTTAACAAATCTTATATATTTCGATAAAAACATTTGAAACATAAAAAAATTAAAATAAGAGTATTATCGGGATTCATTACACTTATGTACTACCTACATTATTGTTGCATATTACGATCCGATAACATACATTATTAATATTTGCAAATATTTGTACAATAACATGATACATCTTATATTTGTTCACGTTTTGTGCAAACCCATTTCCACTGCCGAAAAACATACAAAAATGTAACATCGATCTCTTTCATTCTGTATGAAAGAACAGAGATAACGATATGTTTTTAATGCTGCCTTGACATTGGAAACACGATTACGTGTAGAAGCCACAAGGTCAAATCAGTATGACGATATTACGTAATAAAACTTGTTGGACAATGACTCGTCTTTTCATTACTCCCCACACTATACGCCAGACGGACGTGTGTTGTATTTTGCTTTGATATTCAAAGAATTTATAGAACATAAATGTAAGTATTAACAAATATTTCACACGTGTAGAAATCTTTCAGTATTAGTACAATAATAATTTTAAATGTATTCTTTAATAGTATCAATAATTTTTTACTTGACTTTAACTTAATATGTGTTCTTACAACTAACATTAAGTGTTATTTCCTTTTTTACTTAATGTCCTAATCGATTTATTATTAATCTTACACCAAGTTACTTTTTAATAATGATCATTTTTGACGTCATTATACAATATTTCAATCGCCAATTATTTAATATAAGGGTATTTCGATAATGTTGTCTATTGTTTCGGTTCCACCATTTAACTATTGTCGTAAACCAAATAAAATGGTAATAATACATAAATTAACTATATTCTGCTAATTTGTTGATTAAAACTTTATATTTTACTACATGTAAGTAAATACCTAATCAATATACCTATAAATCGCTAAAGATAACTATTTTTAGATAAGATAATTGACAATCTAGTAGGCAAGTTATTAAATAACAATAAAATCCTTATTCTATTTTCAGTTGAACTTCGATCAGTGACCAATCATGGTGAAGGCAAGAAAATTCGTAGTGAAAAACTACTTCAAAGGTGTTCCCAAACGGGAAGACTTCGAATTAGTAGAATATGAACTACCTCCGTTAAAAGATGGCGAGATTCTACTTAAGACTGAGTGGCTCAGTGTGGACCCGTATCAACGTGCGTACAACAAGAATAATAAAGTACCTTACGATCAATTCGGATTCCAAGTCGGTGTTGTACAGGAAAGTAAAGATCCTAAATTCCCTGTTGGTAGCAAAGTCGTAACGCATAAAGGTTGGTGCGATTATACCATCGCTAAAGATGGAGTCCCTAGTGGACCTGTTGACCACGTTTATGCTCTACCAGATTTGAAAGGTCTTTCGCCATCATTAGGAGTGGGTGCTGTAGGGATGCCGGGAGCAACCGCGTATTTCGGTTTCCTTGAAATCTGCAAACCAAAAGCCGGTGAAACAGTTGTAGTGACCGGAGCAGCAGGTGCTGTGGGATCTCTTGTGGGACAAATTGCAAAGATTAAGGGATGCAAAGTAATTGGTTTTGCTGGCTCCGATGATAAAGTAGAATGGTTGGAAAAAGAACTTGGATTTGACAGAGCCTTCAATTATAAAACTGTGGACGTCGCTAAAGCTCTGAAAGAAGCCGCTCCTAATGGCGTGGATTCCTACTTCGATAACGTCGGTGGGGAAATAAGCAGTATTATTATCAATCAAATGAACAAATACGGAAGAGTAGCTGTATGTGGTAGCATCAGCGCATACAATGAGGATGCGTCAGTGATGCCCAAAGCGACAATTTTACAGCCAGCATTAGTCTTCCAGCAACTTACAGTGCGCGGATTTCTAGTCTGGGAATGGTACAGCAGGTGGCAAGAAGGGTTCGCTCAACTAGTAGATTGGATCAAGAGCGGACAGTTGAAGGCAAGGGAACATGTGACAGAAGGCTTTGATAACATTTTTGATGCATTCATTGGAATGCTTGCTGGTGAAAACACAGGTAAAGCCGTTGTGAAGGCTTAACCAAGTAACCAACTATAATACCAGAATATATCTATAAGACTATACATATTGGAGTGTCTGTTTGTAATATCGATGGAGAAAATCTAGATTTCGAGAAGATGGTGATTCGCATTGTATTTAAAAATTCCCATCGATTAATGTATTTAAACATACTATAGGAACTTTTCTGTAGTTTCTTACAAATCGATAATAAGAAACGTATCTTTGTCAATATTGTTGTCCATGTTTTTACAAATGTTTTTCGCAGGAATGTGATTTATTTTTTAAATAAAATAAATAATAATATGATCTTTGTTTACTTTTCCCGATAACTCAGTTTCATGAAGGTTTACTATAGCAGCCTTAAAAATAAACGCGGTATAAAGTTAAAATTTGTACTAACATTTGTTTATACCGAGTTCATTCCTTTATTTAACTTTATACCACGTTTATTTATAAGGCTGTAGTTTTATTTTAAAAAGTGTATATTCCATTATGACAATTAACATATTCACACATTAAAAAGGAGTCCGTTGCGACTTTAGAAGAATAGAATTAAACATCATATTTGTCTACCCTTCTGGAAGTTCACAAAATTTAAACAAGAAATAAGACAATAACAAGTAAATGACGAAATTCTCACACAGTGGTGTATTATCACACTTTTAGAGATAACACGGATATGCATAACTTATTTACAAAGTTGTTATAAAATTTGTTATAAAAATATAGTGCTTACGCGTAAAAAAATATTCACCTAGCTGTAGAACGAATTTTGGTCTATTATGCACATGCTAACTTTCGCCCTCGACTTCGTCCGCGCGGAATAAAAAAAACAAAAGCAAGTACTCTATGTGTTCTTCCAGCCTATCCTCTACGTCTATGCCAAGTTTGATTGTGATCCGTTCAGCCGTGTAAGCTACAAACTCTAACAAACATCCATCCATATAAATTTTTGCATGTATAATACTAGCTGTTGCCCGCGACTTCATCAGCGTAGTATTAGAAAACAGACGAACTATGTGTGTGAATAACATGTCCCTTGGGAACCGGACATTTTTCGGGGATGAACCTTATCCCATGTGTACTCTAGACTTTGTTTTATATCTGTGCCAAATTTCAATAAGATATGTTAAAGCGTTGCAGAATTATCAAGTAAACATTAAAATACAAAATTAATGCATCCCACAGGAACCGTAACTATTTCCGGAATAAAAAGTAGCCTGTGTGTTCTTCCAGACTATCCTCTTTCATCATTCAAAAATGTACCGTACCCTACCGTACCAAATTTCATCAAAATCCGTTCAGCCGTTTAGGCTACAAACTCTAAAAAACATCCATCTATCCCTCCATCCATCCATCTAAACTTTCGCATTTATAATATTAGTATGAAGTATGATTAGTAAGATAGAGTAAAGGTTGTTTAAGAAATGCCATCACCGCTATTTACGAGTACATTTGGATATTACATATATGTCCAGCCAGATATCACTATAATATACAAATAAAAAAAGTTGCGCAATCTGTTGCTCATAATTTCCAAGAATGAAGAAGCAGTTTCATTATTCTCGTAAATCACTGGGTGATCTCAAATAATTTCCAAAATTGTATGACGATGACATGCACTATTCTATATTTATATTATAAACATCAATGTTTGTATTTTTGTATGTAGTGATATAACTCAAAAAATACTGGGCTGATTTCAAAAATTATTTCACCAATAAATAGCTACGTTATCACTTAGTAACATGGGCTACATTTATTAGAATTTTTATTTCCACGCGGACGAAGACGCGAGTAACAGCTAGTATTAAATAACAAATGAGATAACCGATAAGTAAAATAGTGATATAAATGTGAGGTGCTATATTTATTTTCAGTTAAGTTTCAAGAGTGATCGAAAATGGTTAAAGCAAGAAAGTACGTCGTTAAAAACTATTTCAAAGGAGTACCGAAGCGTGAAGACTTCGAACTAGTAGAATATAATTTACCTCCGTTAAAAGATGGTGAAATTCTCATCAAGACAGAATGGATCAGTGTGGACCCATACCTACGTGCGTACAATAAGATAATGAAAGTACCTTATGATCAGTTTGGACTACAAGTGGGTGTTGTACAGGAAAGCAAAGATCCCAAGTTTCCTGTTGGAAGCAAAGTTGTCTCACATAATGGTTGGTGTGACTATTTTATCGCTAAAGATGGAGTGCAAGCTGGACCTTTGGACCATCTTAACATTCTACCAGATTTTAAAGGTCTGTCGCCTTCATTAGGTGTGGGTGCCTTGGGCTTGATTGGCCTTACTGCCTATGTTGGTTTCCTAGATATCTGCAAACCAAAATCCGGCGAAACAGTTGTAGTAACTGGCGCCGCGGGAGCTGTTGGATCTCTCGTAGGTCAAATCGCCAAGATCAAAGGTTGCAAAGTAATAGGGCTTGCTGGCTCCGATGACAAAGTGGAATGGTTGGAAAAAGAGCTTGGTTTTGACAAAGCTTTTAATTACAAAACTGTGGACGTCGCTCAAGCTCTGAAAGAAGCGGCTACCGAAGGCGTGGATTGTTATTTCGATAATGTCGGTGGGGAAATAAGCAGCATTATTATTAATCAAATGAACAAAAACGGAAGAGTATCTGTGTGTGGAAGCATTAGTTCTTACAATGAAGAGGGGAATTTGCCTAAAGCAACTATTTTACAGCCAGCGATAGTGTTTCAAGCCCTTAAGATACAAGGATTCGTTGTCGCTGCATTTCGTGATCGGCTGCCGGAAGTGATCCCTAAAATGATAGATTGGATAAAGAACGGACAGTTAAAAGCGGCAGAACATGTAACAGATGGTTTTGAAAATGTTCTTGATGCGTTTATTGGAATGCTTAAAGGCGAGAACAAAGGCAAAGCAGTAGTCAAAGTGTAAAGTATTGAAATACATAAAGACCATATACAGTTGCTGCTTTTATTTTTTACCCAACTAGCCCTAGCCTTAGCCTTGTATGTGACGCAACTTATAAACGTCTCTTATCTTTTCTGTAAAATCTATGTTATACCGTGATAAAGTTGCTTTAACACTTAGACGGAGTTTTTTGTAGTAAAAAAATATTTTACGTATTTTTCTCTTAACTAGTTCAGTAAATTTTGATTTTAAATTAGTTGGCACAGTGGACACTATCGAATTAAGGGTTAATTGCGTATTTTTATTCGTTTCAGTGGTTTCTGAACCTATACAATGGAAAAAGAATCGAATCTTTCCTCTTTATTTTACTACTAGCAGTTGCTCGCGAATACGTCCGCGCAGTAATAAAAATATATACGAACTATGAAAAAAAAGGCCTACCAGTTCAGCTGTTTAGAGTACAAACTGTAAAAAACATCCAATCAATAAACCCATTGGCATAAAAGTGGTAACGCATAAAGGTTGGAGTAACTATACAAAGATGGAGGATTGCCAAAGATGGAGTACTAAGTGGACCTGAGCTACGTTTACTTGAGTATGTGTGAGGACTTTAATTGACATCAGAGTGGGTACATATACTATAGAATAAAATAAGAGAAAGTTTTTTTTTACGTTTTTAAAGACAACTTATGGACTATAGTTTCAGTATCTGAGAATGAAACTGCATTTATGTTTCATTACTCTAATTTGATATAGAAAATATCTTTTAAGTTATTAAATAAGATAATTCATTACCATCACAGCTCAGTTTCATTTTCATATAAATTCCATTTTTCAACACATGTTATTAACAATAGATGTGGTTAGTAATAAATAAAAGAAAAAAATACAAACATACCCATGGGTTTATTATAATAATTAACATTATTTTATACTTACAAATACTAAATTATATTAATATGCTAATGTAGAATAGATTCAAGCACATTACTTTAAATCTAGTTCAGTCAGAGACTTGTCAAAGGTATTGATAACAGTAGGTGTCTAATATTGGGCTGATTGGCCCTCTGACCACATAATCTAATAGGAATATTTTTTCATGATGGGATTTAATCATTAGGGAAACAATAATTACAGTTCCATTTATTGACAGACAGATGTTAAAATTGCCAACAAGGGATTTAACTGCGCTAAAAGTATTTCACCTTGTTACATTGTCAAGAGATTTCTATCATTTTTAATAACAGAACATAACTTAAGGTTTATTCCTTATATGCTTGTAATAAAGACATAAATTTTAAACATTCCCCATATAGATTTTTTTTTAAATATTGTACTATAATTTAATAAGAGATACTGATACCCCTTAAATAATGGAATATGAATTATCTATATAAAAAGAACAAAATTAAGACACTTAAGAAATATCTTATTTTATCAAATAGTTAACATTTGTAGCAAATTTGTATAAGTATATTAAGAAGTAATCAATTTCCCTTTAATTTTTCATTAAAATATTCTGACTAAACTTAAAAACCATTAAATTAAACAAAATAAATATTACAATTTTTCCAAGTCAGTACCAAGATATTTGATTTTAAGTAACGAAATTTAGTAATTAAACAGAATAAAATTACCATTAGATTTCAAGTAGATTTAACTTAAAAAATAGCAAACTTACCTTTTTTTTCTTAACTTTAGCAGGATTCTTAACACTAAATCACTTTCCACTAAACACACATCATGTATTAACTCTTTTAGAGGCAGAATCTGCCTCACTGTCACTGGCCTTCCTCTTCCTCTTGATGAGATGTGAAATATCTGATGCTGCAGGTTTAGGTTTAGGTTCTGAGGAGGTGGAACTAGCAACACTCGGCTCCCCTGAACCCTCACCATTCTCCGGGCATAATGTCTCACGGACACGTTTTATCGTCTGGAAATTAAGTTACGATTGTAAGTGAGGAGCCTATGTTCTTCATGTCTGCCAAATTTCATTGAAAACCATTCAGCCGACAAACTCTAACAAACATCCATCCATCTAAACTTTCGCATTTATACTATTAGTATGACTAGATATTGTCCATGGACAATTAAAAGTAAAGTAAAAGGTCTTTGTTTAAATTAATTCAAAAAAGGCATTTCATTAAAATTTGTGTGTAGTGTTGCCATTACCATAAAAGTAAATATGTCTCTAAACATTTATGTATCGTTTGTTTCTTAGTTTTTTTAGTTTAAATATCAAATTTTTCTCTTATTAAAAAAAGCAATTACATGCTGTTAGGTATATGGATACTGGATACATTTTAAAATGAAGTTTCTAATACCATGTTATGTAGTAAGAGCCTTTCCCACCACTGACTGATAGAGGCTCAGATAGCTTAAAAGTGACATAACTGTCAGATAGAGTAACAAAACACGATACTTCCAACATAGATTATTTTTTTTTTACAAGTATTCCGGGACAGGCCATTAGTAATTTTACTTTTTAAATCACAATTAACTCATAGCTAAGGTTCCATGTAAGAACCACATGGTCATTATTGTATTGGGTATTAAATAATACACAGTTATAATTTTGTATAAATTTATTATAGAAAAAAAAAACGCAATACAAAAATGGCCTTGTGGTATAACACTAGGGTCAAAATTACAAACTAAATTCCTTATACATTAAGAATATTTTAAATGCTCATTGAGATTCATAAGGCACAGTCATAAGTACTTATTTTATAACCAAATTCACAGAAATCAAACATTAGGACAATAAGTAAATCCCTATTAATTTTAAAAAAAGGTAAAAAGGCACTTATAAACTACAATTAACAATAGAATACTGAATTCGAAAAAAGCCACTAAAGTGTAAGAAAATTAGTTTTTCTTAGTATTTAGGCTTTTCAGTCTATTTCTCCTACTGAGCAAGTCTGTCAAATATTTAAAAACTATTACTTGCCAATTATCACAATTTAATCACTGACAATGATTCAAGACTGGAACAGATCAGATTTTTACTACAAGTAAAATTGAATTTTCCGCAATTAAAATAGGGTTTAAAACATTTTTTTACGTTTTTCACATGTACTGTTTCATTATATGCGAATTTAATTAAATTGATTTCACTTATTGTGTTTTTTTTTTCATAACAAGGTGGCAAACGAGGAGAAGACGTACATAAAGAGGACACTTCCCCTTTTATGCATCTCCTCCACCATCAAATCCACTTCCCCTTCCTATCCTCTCCTTATAAAAAAGGGTGGTAAAGAGAAAGGGACTTAAATTAGTTATTTAATCTATGGTCAATGTCATTTCTGTCTGCATACTCATGATATTTTAATACTGTTGATTAAAAAATGTAGAAAGTAAAATCAAACCTTATTACAATACTATAAAGTTCAATTTTATTTGCAATTAAATTTCTTTTCCGATTAGTTTGAATGGAATGTAATACCGTTACAAAAAAATCAATAGGAACATTACAATAACATTAAAAAACTAAACTTTTCCTGATACAGCGGAATGTAAAAAAGTTCCTAAATATTTAAATTTGTACTATTTGATGATTCTTTTCCTTCAACATTAAACCTCTTAGCATATTCCTAGTATCCTCTAGACAATCACAAGGTCTTACCTCTGCTTTATAATCCATCATATCTTGAATTTTCTCTTGTATTTCAGGCAAAAGTTCCTTTAATTCTTTAATCTCCGCTTCAATAGAATAGAAGGGATCGTTTAATTTATATTTCTTTATAGTAGCGTCATCTTTAGGGTTCGCATTCTCTAATGCTTTGATTCTGGATTCTAAAATATTTGCTGCGTTCTTGAAATGTGTTACTGCGTCTTCGAAATTCGATGCCAAAGAGTTTGCGAGACCTTTAAACAAGAAATTTAATATATTTTTTTTTTTATAACATAAGGTGGCAAACGAGCAAGCGGCCAGCTATAACCGCCAAAATGGCGAAACGACCGCTGCCCATAGACATCCGCAATTGTAGATGCGTTGCCTATCCTTATACGACGGAGGAGGAGACGCACATAAAGAGGTTATTTCCCCTTCTTATTATTAGACAACTTATTTAATTGATACTGTCGCTTTTAACTCAGAGCAATACTTCTCGTCAAGACTTAGGATGCGCGCCAAATCTATCCATACTTCTAGTGACATTTGACAGCTGTCAGCTAGGGACGTGACGATTATGCCGATAATCTAGAGTTGCGCCAATTCTATAGCACGGTACTAATTTTATTCCTAACATTATGCATCTCCTCCACCGTCACATCCACTTCCTCTTCCCAACCTCTCCTTATAAGAGAAGGGTGGTAAAGAGAAAGGGATTTAAATTAGACCTCCGGCACCACACTCATCAGACGAAACGCGGAATTGCTTCCATTTCACGCCTGGCTTCTGTGTGGTCGTGGTATTACTGGGGGCGTGCCCTGCAGTGCTAAGATGTTAAAGTGGGCACTACCACTGTTAAAATTATTTACACTCTACATACTAATATTATAAATGCGAAAGTTTAGTTAGATGTTTGTTAGTTTGTTTTGTAGTATAAACAGCTGAACGAATTTCGATGATATTTGATATAGATGTAAAGGATAGTCTAGATAGAAGAACACATGAGAGCCACATTTGTTTATTTTAATCCATGCGGACGGAGTCGCGAGCGAAATCTAGTTTATTTTTTTTTAGTAGCTGTGGTCCGTGCCTTCTTAAAAAACTTATTAGCCTATATGTTCTTCCAGATTGTTTTACATCTGTGTCAAATTTAAGATACGTTTTTACACATTTTTGGATAAAAAAAAACCTTTTAATCATCTTTTTTCTATAATTTGCTTGATTAGGATATTTATCTAACATTTGTTTTGATGTTGTTTAAATTATTTCTACTTACCAATCTGATAGTGAGTTTCGGCAATACATCTATCATCACTGTTGTGCAGTTCCTTTTGGATTTCCAAACAGCACACTGGAAAAAATAAAAACATTCATCACACACTTTAACAAATTATTTCATGTTTTAAAGACATATCTTTAGTTGCAACGCGCGATACCGGTTTCACCACTACGACCGCCCTGGGCGTAATATCTAAGACGCCCCTTTCTGTCAAAACGCCCTACCCTAATGCCGGCCCTGGCCAGATTCAAACGGCAGTTTTTAATCGTTTTTCTTTAATGTAGACAACCATTCAACACTTGGCGTGTAAATACCTTGTCGAGTCCCCACAATTTACTAAATATATTATTACGCGGGTTCCAGTGATAGGTTGAAAAATACGTAACCCGCATTCCAAGCATTAATTTCAAGTAATTATATTTAAACACGAGCGGTCGCCTGCAAATTTGGATCCGTTACGCCATTTTGACAGTCCGGAATTAAAAAAAAAGCCTATAATATGCCCGTCTATGTCAGTTACCCTTTAGTGAAAGTTCGGTCGAAATCGGTCCAGCCGTTTCGTAAATAGTATATAATTTAATTGATTATTTATTTAATTCATGTAAGATATATTACATATAATTGAAATATTTACACTTGACAAAAATAACTACAGATTTACTAATAACATGCCCTAAAGCCGGCTACGTGTGCGCCCACCCAATGGCCAATATATGTAAAACAAACTCATAAATATATTTTTGTACTTTATACAAGTTATTCGTCAAAATTTCATTGTTTATATTATATTGCATACTTACTCATATCAGTGACAGCTTTGTCGTAAGTCTCACTTTCGAGGGCGACCTCCCCCAGCGCGAGGTGCACGTCGGCCAGCAGCCGCCGCGTGACGTCACCGCCGCCGCCCTCCGCACGACGCTTCAGAATACTACGAGACAGATCTGAAAACATAATTATCGTTATTAAATAAAAAATAACAAAGTTGTGAAATTCATCAAAGAGTCGAACACACATAGGAATGAAAAGTGGATATGCTTTCCTAGGCATTTTCACTTATTAAATCCATTACCCCCTCCTATCGAACTATTAAAAAACCAAGTAACCAGTAACAAGTTTCAAATCAGTATGAATTATGTTTTAATTAGCTTGTGCTTGCGACTCCAACCACACTTAATTTAAAAAAACTTAGTTAGTTGTAGCCTATGTGTTTCTTCCAGACTATCCTCTACATCTATGCCAATTGTCACCCAGATCCGTTCAGCTGTTTAGGCTACAAACTCTAACAAATATCCATCCATACATCTAAACTTTCGCATTAATAATATTACATAAATAGAAAACAGAAAATACATTTTATAATAATAATAAAAGTATTTTTAACTCACCGAGCATTTCCCAAGCTAATTGTAGATTGTCAATATCGTCTTCATTGTCCAAATTGGCCATAGACTCGTCCATTGCGTCACCATTTGATGTACCCTGGTAACAAATTTAAAATATAATAACATGTTTTTTTAATCTTACTAAATCATAGATGCAAAAGTTTAGATGGATGTTTGTTAGAGTTTGTAGCCTAAACGAACGGTTTTCGATGAAATTGGGCATAGATGTAAGAGGACAGTCTGGAAGAACACATAGGATACTTCCATTTGTTTTTTAAATTCCGAGCGGAAGAAGTCGCGGGCAACAGCTAGTTGTTTTTATAAATGTTATCTTAGTAGAGGTAACAAAAAGCACAATTGAGATCTAAATAGATTTTTGGACTCTATAAAGATGGAAGTCTTAACAGCGAAAGACAAGATTTGATTTTAATATTGTTTACTGCGCATTAATAGCAAATGAAAAAGTAGCATTTATTTGTTCAGTCTATTGTTTCCATTCTCTGTGTTGTTAAAATTAACAGTTACTTTTTCAAAAGTAATGAAAATACTAACCGGTTTCTCATCATCAGTCCCGCTGGTCACCACAGTTGGTTCATCATCTTTTGTGGTAGATTCGGCCTCAGTCTTCTCCACTTTAGTTCCGCTGTCAACTGAATTGTCCTGAGTCTCCATTTTAGCTTCAGCATTCCCTTCAGCCTCTGCTTCAGCATTCGCTTCAGTCTCTGCTTCACCATCTTCATTCTGTTCATCATTATCTTCTTGATCTGAATAATACAATATTTCTGTGGTCATAGATCAACAATAAGTATATTTTTGCTCAGTATGTCTTATTAATTTAAGTATTATCGCTAAAAAATGCTCTTTCATTTGGTCATATCAGCTTAACATGCAAAATATTTGATTTATCATATTCTGACCTATGGCCACAGATTTATTATTGAAATTATTGTGTTTTTTTAATCTGTTCAACTGGCCTGTAGTGTAGTCATCATAACACATGGAAAAGACATTAATAGTTCAACAAGTATCCATGGGCCATTTAAATTTTCAACAAAAAAAATGTAACTTGTAAATAAACTAAAAATGTCTCATTTTATATCAATAAGGTGGCAAACTTGCAAAGGTCCTGGATATGCCAAAATAGCAAAGTGAACACTGCCCATAAACAACCACAACAGTAGATTCATTGCCTAACTTTAACTAATGAAGGAGAGAACACATAAAGAATACATTTCTTATTTAAATTTGGCAGTAACTAGTAATATAATTTTTTCAAAACTTTAATAAGTCATGTAATGTAAGCAAACATACCTCCATTTTCATCTTCATCAGCATTACCAGTTCCTGGCATACCATCTCCTAAAACACCGCTTTCTTCTCTTGATAAGCCAAGAAGAGATTTGCCATACCTGGTGAATTACAAAAGATTAGAATATACTTATTTATTTATTATACTTACTGGCAATATTTCTTCTCACAGAAGAACTTGTTCATAGTAATATTTTAAGTCAGAAAAATTGTTTTAGAAACAAAACTATAAACTGGTTCTTATTTTTTTTTATTTAATCTTACAGTTTTTAACATAAATTAAATTAAACAATCTTTTTATCTTATTAAAATTTGTAAGACATATAAGGTGCCTATACTAAATGAATAACATGATGTGTGGTATATTCTTTGTAATAAAACAATTTCAATAATTCACCAAGACAGAAGTTTAACATGAAATGTATCACAATTCTTAAACTTACCATAAATAAGCTTCAGCGCATTGATCAGCGGTATCCCCATGTTCCGCAGCAAGCAGCTCGCAGGCCTTAGCCAAAGCCTCGGCTGCTGCATTGTAGTCTCTGACTGCGAGATGTCTCCTGCCTACACTTAACAACTCCGCGGGTGATGAAATAACATCTGCTACATCATCCATCTAAAAAAATATATAATTTAATTTAATTTTCATATTAATTATTTAATACTATGATCGTCATTTTTAAGTAATAACTGGCAAAATTATGATTAAACCACAAATTTTTTATTTAAGATTTAATGTCATATACAGACTTCAGGAATGTTTAAGTGCCACTTATATTATCTATCTCTATAAGTTTAGGGCTAAAGTTTCTGATCAGTTAAGTACAATTTTGAGTTCATAAATGTAGATTACATTATTTGAACGGGTAATCTTAATTTATAACTTATTTACATTACTAACATACAAATAATAAAAATAAATGAGACGATATAAACAAATACTGTGTGTGAAACTATTCTAGTATCTAAAAGTTTGCAAATTGGAAACTCGCAATTGCATACTTGCCGTGCCGGGTTGTAACGGTCAACGTGACAACTGTTGTAAAGAAAACAATAGGAATGTAAAATGCCACGTGCAGCGTATAATAATCCTATAAATTCCTAACATAAATCAGCAAATACGATCTAAAGAGCCCCTAACCTATAATGAAAACGACTTAATTACTAATTTACTGAGTGTAAGACAGTATTTGACTGTTACCGCCAAATTGATGATTGAAGTTTTTGTCAAAAGTGTTAATACTTACAGTTATTGAGTGTGTTAATAGTTGCTGAAATAATATATATTTGTCGCTCCTGCTTGTCGATACGATAAAAGTATAGTTTGTGACTTTATTTCACTAAAATCAAGAAGAAATTACTTTCCCTTTCACATCACATTAATCGGCACGGCACGTTCGTTCGTTTCGTTTCGTACTTTGTCAATGCAGTGTTGCTATTGCTATGTGTAAGTGTAAGTATCTAAAATGGTAAAAATATATTTGGCTTTTTTCGCTTGCGCCTTGCAATACAATAATGGAAATTAAATCAAAATTAATTGCAACCTCAAACTACCCTAATTAACTCAATTGTATTTATTTTTGTAATAGTTTTATCATGTACAGGATTATACCAAAAATAATGTGATAATCTCATTACCTTATTTCAGGTAACACTGTCAAACAAGTTTTAATTTTGTAAAACTTGTTAAAATAAAACTTTATTCGTTATTTACTTTTTGAATATCCTAGTACTATCCTGTTGAGTTAGGTTTACATTTTTACCTACAGTATAATAGAATCATGGTTTCGGAAAGTTTAGCCAAGTTGTGTTCCGTTTCCTACCCACACGTAAATTCAAGGTACTCATAAAGTTACGATTGTTAATGCCTTTTGTTCATTATAAAAAAATAAGAACAGACTTGTTTACTTAACCGTGAGTTTTAACTAGCAAAACAGATTAATGATTTTTATTGATATTCCCCGTAAAATAAAATTATCCAATAATTTGTTCTTGTTAAAGTGAAAATAACGATTGTTTTTTTTTTAAATAGGCAAAAACAAACTGAACATAACTACTTATTTCTTTGTATCTAATAAATCTATTAGCAATTTTCAGGAATCAGACATAAAGAAACTCATGATTATACCATGTACAGACAGAAAATTAAGCTTTTAACATTTAGAACTTAATTTTACCAATGAGCAATAGGTAACCAAGTGTTTATTCTACAGACAACAGTAATCATTTAACTCGATATTAATAATCAATCATAAAGTTTACCACAGATGGTATTCAAGCATTAATAGTGTAAATGTTTCAGAATAAACAAAAAAGCAAACTTAAAGCTTTGGATTAATTTTCAGTTCTAAAGTCTCTTTCTCCGGTATTTTGTCAAAAAAATTATTGTAAGCTTTTATTAGTAATTCAAATCAGTTATTGATTTAACCGATAATGCGTGTAGATTTTACATTACACGCCATAAGCATGTGACAAATAATAATTACATAAACGCGTTAAACACGATGCAGGGTGCATCGTATAATGACACGCGATAGGTATCGACTTTTCCCCCGCCCGCCCCGGCGATAGCGATTGCCCGCCCAATATTTATGTAGTGATGTAACGTTATCCTTTCAATTTTATCGATAAAATTGTCCAGATATATTTGTTACAGAGAGGAATATGAGGTTATAAAAGAAAGCAACAAAGTGTATTTTTAATAAGTTTACTATAAGGAAGAATTTGTAGGGCTGGCAAAATATATAATCTAAAAATTACATCCATGTAGTTAAATTTAAATGGTGCGAAATGATTTTTTTTAAGTCAACAGTTAAACTTACATCAAATTCTTAGTAATTTAATCTCTTCATGTTTAGCTCAAAGGAAATAAATAAAACATTATAGCATTTAAGATCCTGCAATATCGACATCTCCTTCAATTGTTGATACCATCACAACACTAGATATTGCTTCATTTCCACGATTTTCCAACTCAGTCTGTGTCGAACGGTGTTGCGGGTAACCCGCTTCCATCCTTCGTTGTATTTATCGTGATTGTAAATAACTCGTCATATATACTATATAATACAACAAACGATTATTGCATCTTTAGTCAAAAATGTGACATAATACCTACGTTATTAAGGAGTGCTACGGAGAGGATTTCCAAGGAAGGTAAGCTTTTTTAGTATTTACGCAGGTATAAAGGAATTACATTACCGTGATCAAAACACATTGTGTAATCTTTATTTATATTGATAACAGTTCTAACAATATTTGTCTATTTTTAAGGGCTATTGTTGTAAAACATTGTAAGAAAAAGGCATAAAAATATGTTAAGTTGACTTTGGACTATGGCCAAATTCATTGGGAGTATTCCTTCTTTTAAAAACGATTACGAAAATCCTTTAAAAGAAAGAAGTCTACATTGTGTTAGTCATAATTGTGTTATTTAAACTTTGTACCAAAAACATACAGAATTTGAATTATTAACTATAATATTTACTTAAAACATTTATTACGATGATTACATGAATTATAATTATTGTTGTTTTATATTTAGTTGCTTTTTCGTTTGACAAAAATTATTTGTTCTTAAATCTATACTACAATATTACACACTATGCATTTATCCAACAGCTAAGACTCTAATTGCAGAAGTACGGTTAAAAGTTTAAGATTCTTTCTAGGTGAGGAGTTGGGTGCAGGCGCCCTGATGAGTAGATTTACTGCCGTCGTGAGCATTTCAAGGCCCCGAAAATTGCTTCCCACGGCAGTCCGGCGAGAGCGTACATCGCCTACCACAAGCTGGGCGCAGGCATGGAAGCCCAGACCACCACGCCGCAGACTGAGTGCGAATGTGGGGTACACCCATCCGTATTCTACTTGCTGGCAACGTTACTACTTACCAGGTAAGTGTGATATTACTTGTGTGTACCTTCTTATCAAAAGTTCGCGGTTTAAACCTACAACTGTATAAACATCTGAACATGTTAACACGGAAATCTAATCCATAACTACTTAGCTATTAAGTTACATTTCCTTTGTCTTTTGTAAAGCTGTAGCTATCATATCTAAATGACTATAGTGAGAACATTAATTCAACGTATTGGGTTACATTACACAGCCGCCAACACAAACAATCGAAGCCAAACATTGATTTATACATGCCCTTTATTCTAAGGGACTCGACCACAAAGGCTCATTGTATTCGCGACGTCGGCCCACGTTTCTAATAAATTACGGCCATTTTTCAATAAAAATAAGTAAATACATTAGGTAATATTTTGCTTCAATATACATATTCGTATTATCTCTTTGTAAATATAGAAGTAAATAACTAAAAAGCTCTGAAAACACGTGTACGACAAAGAAAAATCTTACTAATATTATAAATGCGAAAGTTTAGATGGATGGATGGATGTTAGAGTTTGTAGCCTAAACGGATGAATGGATTCCGATGAAATTTGGTATAGATGTAGAGGATAGTCTGGAGAATACATAGGCTACTCACTTTTGTTTTTTTTTAATTCCACGCGGACGGAGTTGCGGGCGAAAGCTAGTATGAACATAATTGAGAAGGTTCATTATAATCATCGTGATCAAGGAGGCATTGATGACTGAAATGCATCATAGTTTTTTAGAAAGGAAACCAGTTTTACTAAACTACTTGGAGTGAACGCATATGTCCATAATAATTTCAGAAATAAATAGTTAGTTTATAACATAAATTGAACTTTTTATGAAAATTGTATTTAAGTGCAATACAATGCAGTAAAGGTAAAAGTATATTGACACAGTGCTGTAATGCCGCAACCCAGGATAGAAATGCGTCAGCATTTTAAAGCAATTTCAGATAAAACTGTTTTATTGTTAACCTACTTTAGTATTTCGTTGTTCATACATTTTTATAGCACGCTATTACTGCAATACGATTTATAACATAAATAATTAAGTCTTGACATTATTTGAGTTTGAGTGTAATCGATTATACAAAATTACAATTTCTTTAAAAAAATTAGCATTGTTTTATCATAGCTTTAGCCCGCGACTCCGTCCGCGTGAAATTTAAAAAAAAAAAGCAAAAGTTAATAGCCTATGTGTTCTTCCAGATCATCCTCTACATCTGTGCCAAATTTCATCAAGATCGGTTCAGTAGATTAGGCTACAAATTCTAACAAACATCTATCCATCTATCTAAACTTTCGCATTTATAATATTACTAGCTTTCGCCTGTGTCTCCGAACGCGCGGAATTAAAAAAAATTATGTAGCCTATGTATTCTTCCAGACATTCCTCTACATCCATGCCAAATTTCCTCGAGATCCGTTCAGCCGTTTAGACTCCAAACTCTAACAAATATATCCGTTCATCTAAACTTTCGCATTTATAATATTAGTAAGATAAGATTATAAGATAATAATTTCTTTCTTCGTCCACTTTTGACTACTGAAATCTTTACGTGACATAACATTGCTATGGACAGAAATGTGAACACATTTTTATACAGACCATTGTCGTGTTAGCAATAATCATACTGCCGAATAAGTTTCAACAAAGGCTATTTAACTAGTTACTAAAATATTCTATGACAATAATAACCAAACCCTAACCTGCCATAAATGTGTAGGCGGTAAGTTTCAATATTTGTTTAAACGTTATTTCGTATTTATTCTATGCTTTGTTTGCCTTTCTCATAAAATATAAAGTTGGTCTTTTGATAATTAAACTTATGTTTACACAGGATTTAATCTTTACTAATATAATGAAGGAAAGATTTGTATTTTTAGATTTTCGTATGTATCGAAGTAACTCAAAAACTACTGGGCCGATTTTAAAATATCTTCAGAATTAAAAAGCTACGTTATCTGTGAACAACTATGTTTTTTATTATTTTTTAACTTTACGCGGGCGAAGTCACAAGAAACAGCTAGTTTGATATAATTTTCTACCATTCTTACACTGAGAATAATGCTATCTAGGTTCTATGGTTTAATTTTTAAACTCGATAGAATTATTTACACTAACAAAGATTTTCGTTGTTTCGATATAGAAATAAGAAAAACGGTTGAGTTTTATATTTGTTCTAGCAACGTGCGACATAAAAAGTATAATTACCTATCGACGTTATTTCCTGTTCGAAAGTATTCATTTGAAAACTTTCCTTTTTGCATTATACTTAAAGTGTATTTTTATTGCACTCTAATACTTAGATCGTTGATTAGTCAAAATAGTAATTACGTTTTTCTTCCACAGCAACATGGATAAATTACTTACAATATTGCCTTAGCTCCGTAATAAAAAAATTAAACGCTATGCCGATACCCTCGTAAAACACAATACCGGCGTCTCCGGCCTAAATTAATATTTTAATAAAACAACCCAATTTGTAACAGTACCTCTATAAGATCCGGGGTAAGATTTAATTCTATAAAAAGGAAAATTTTTAATTTAACATTTCCTACGACTGACAATTTCATAAAATCGAGGCCTATTCAAATAACACCTAACTCTGTTAATGCCTAACTCTAAAAATTCGACAGTGGTAATGCCCGCTTTAACATGTTAGCAGTGCAGGGCCGGCACGCCCGGTGTAATACCACGACCACACAGAAGACAGGCGTGAAATGGAAGCAATTCCGTATTTCGTCTGATGAGTGTGGTGCCGGAGGCCTAATTTAAGTCCCTTTCTCTTTACCACTCTTTTCTTATAAGACGAGGTTGGGATGGGGAAGTGCATTTGACGGTAGAGGAGATGCATAGGAAGGGGAAATATCCTCTTTATGTGCCTCTTCTCCTCCTTCGGATAAGGGTAGGCAACGCATCTGCATTTGCGGATGTCTATGGGTAACGGTCGCTTCGCCATTTTGGCGGATTCAGGTGGCCGCTTGCTCGTTTGCCATTTTTTGTTATAAAAAAAAATGTAACAGTACCCCTATAAGATCTGGGATAAGGTTTATATATAGAAAAAAAGGAATTTTAATTTAACATTTCCTACGACTTGACAATTTCATAAAATCGAGGCCTATTCGAATAACACCTATGTAACTCTGTAAATGGCATTGAGCCGTTCACTGTAGACAACAATGGAATTAACATATAAACCCAGATAATTATTCACTAACTAAAACTCGCAAAATGTTAAATTCTGCTGTATCAGAAAAATCATGAATCTTCTATAATTTCGTATCGCATTGATTAATCCGTTTACTTTTTTATTTAATTTAATTCAGAGCAATTTTCCGAGTCATAATTAATTCTTTTGAAAGTAATTTTAACATTAAAATTTGCAGAAATTGTAACAGACAGTTGTAGACAATGAAATAAGCGACATTGTTTTCTGACTGACTTGCCGGCGAAACTAAATTTACTTTTTTGTTATAATTCCGATATTCAAGTCATGATGAGTCACTAAATAGTTACTTAAATGTGAGGAAAGTTCAAAACCGAAGTTGTGTTTAATTCATTTTATGCGGAGAAAACTGTATTCACATTCAAGATGTTTTAAAAACAAAGACGATCGATATATCCTTAGACGACATCAAATGGCGGGGAAACAATTTCCATGAAAAAAGGTTACCCGGTCTCTTGTTTTTACGACCCAAGTAACGAAACTAGAATACATCGTAAATCAGACCAAAAGGGACGGGAAAGGGTATACTTAGAGTTTACTATGAGACCGTATGTAAACATATGACACATACTTCTACATTTTATAGAATAGAATATTCAGCGTTTTTATAAGTACTTAGAGCGCACACACCTTTGACTAAACTATCGCATAACTGTTTAGTCGCGCTTTGATTCCTATAAGCTTATAGGAGGTGTACACATTACTCGATTTTTAGTTGCAACTGAACAGTTATCAAACAAGATGTTGTCGTTAATATATAGCAACTATCTGTTCCTCTGGGACCTTACTGGTTACAGTATTATTTATTATTAATTATGTTTTTAATATTATTATTGTATAGCTGTTCGACGGCGATGCTATGCGCGGCGATGATGACAGAACATTGGGAACACGTGGCGTGGGAGCGCGCTGCGTTGGCCGCACTCGCTAACACATCAAACACCGTCCTACACTGGCTGCTCGATGAGAAAGTCGCTAAGGTATTGTAACATTGTAACATTGTAACATTGGTAGAGCTCACTTTAACGTCTTTTCACGAATGGGCTGGCTCGCCCAGAGAAATACCATGACCAAACAGATGATAGGCGTCAAGTGGAAGCATTCCGCGTGCAGTCCTGTATTCCGTTACGACCCGTCAATAACTTAAATTTGCAAGCCCCTACAAAGTTGGAATAGCAATCACATAGTTAAATTGAATTTGGTACGGAACGAGCTACGTTTATACAATTGTTATTTTGAACAGTACCAAGTACAATTGATATTTGGATTCAATGGTCAGGATAATTTACTTACTTGGTACTCTAAGTTAAAACGCAACGTATAAAATATTTTTGTAGCATTTGCGTAGCCTTAGTGCTACGTAGTTTCCTATTTACTTAATTTACAACCATTAAAATGAAAATAACTACTTAAATGTGATTAAAAATCATTTTCTTGTACCTCACTGCTTGGTAAATACTATTGTTTATGTAAGTACCAATATAAACACTTGTAAGTGTGACTGTACACAAATTTCGACGTAATCTGTGCGTTGCCCCGAATAAGGCTTCCCTCTGAGAATCTCTACATTGTACAAATAACTTTGAAGGAACGAGTCTTGTTGCTGACTGGTAATAAATAACGAATTATTTTACACACACTTATTTAGAAACAAAACAGCGTCAATCCATAATTTTTTAACGGCGGGTACTTACCTTGAATTGTCTCTTACGAGATTTGGCAGCCGACATTTTGAAAGTACTATATTTCTCAAATCTCTAGTATTGTATATTCAATCTTATTGAAATTAAGTTTCCACGAAGACTTTACATACTACGTTACTATATACATTAATAAGTATATAACTAAGCTAATATGTGAGTAGTTCATGTAATGAGAAGTTACATAATATAGTGTTACAATTACTACGCAAAGCTGACAATCTCAACCTTGACCTGCTCACTAACAATAATCGAGATTGAATAATAAATTACAGTAATCAATAACGATTATTCAACTCTACCTTTAAATAAAATTTATATATAACATGATATTTGGGTATAAATATTTCAGTTAGTTAATTTCTTGACTGACTTCCCAAAAGAAGGAGGTACTCAATTCGTCTGTATGTTTTTTTCATGTGGACCGATTTTGATAATTCTTCTTTTATCCGAAAGATAGTGCTTGCAGGTGGGTCCCATTTTTTTTGTTTGATTTTTGGAATCAAAGATTACGACGTAGTTAAATAGTTTAGCTCAAAATCGCGCGACGAAATTTGGGGTCGTTTTTGCTATCTTTTTTATTGATGCTTGGCTAGACATCGCCAGGAAGAGGGATTCTAACGGGGGAGGGGGTAAATACATATAAAATTTGAATAAGACCAGAGACCTAAGACCTAGCCTAGATCGTGCTAGCGCTACGGCTTGAGTATTTGCATTCAACAGGACTGCAAATAGTTTTATGAACTCTTTAAATGGTTTATTATTCATGTCATGTTTTATCCATGTGATTTAACTGTTAAAATATTGTTTAAAAACATTAAACCCCTTACTGTCAAGAAACATGGGTAAAAGGTTACCATGGTATGGACATGTTATGAGGAGGAGTGAATCGCATGTTACGAGAACGTTAGTTATGAGTGTGGAGGTACAACGGTAGAGGTAGACCAAGAAAGAGATGGATGGATTGCGTAAATAGTGACATGATCAAAAGGTGTGTGATGACTGAGATGAAACATGATAGAGTTATGTGGAGGACAAAAACCTGTTGCGCCCACCCTACGGGAGTAGGATAAGTAGGAAGCAGATGACTGTCGAGAAACAAAATTCCCAACGTTGGTTCAAGAAACAAGATAATAACAAAATAGAGCACCACCGGCTGCGCAATCCGATGACTCAAGCAACCAGTGGTCAGAGCAGAGACAGGAACCTCCTCACTATACGTACGGTTTCTAAAATAACCGCCTTTTGAATTATTATATCTATTATTATGGAAAGATTTTTCTTGTTCTCGATTAACTTAACATACAAAATTACTTCAATTTTAAATATTCCATCAATTATTGGAAATTTTTTATGTTCGAGTGATTCTGGACTGATTATTAAAATCGGTCAAAAGTTAAACTTCTTTCTAGTTAATTATTTTAATTTTCGCTGACATTACACTGCCGTGGTTTTAAAGAAAACAAACAACTTGAAACTACCGTAGAGCTAGAGTTAAGTGGCCATTGTATGCAGTAAATGTCACGATTTTTACAAGAACACTTTAGTGTACTTGTACTTTATAAAGTAAATAAGTTATTTTATTTCTTGATGTAAAATCTTAGAAACTCCAATAAAAATTAAAACAAATGCCCAAAAATGCAAACATTCTTACTAACATTGTAAATGCGAAAAATTAGATGAATGGATGTTTGTTAGAGATATCGAAGATATTGCATTTGAAACGAGCTGCATATACGTAGAGGATAGCTTGAAAGAACATATAGGCTCCTCACTTTTTTAAATTACACGCGAACGAAATCACAGGCGAAAGCTAGTAACTTTACAATTCCATTGTAAATCCGTTGCAAAAAATTTAACTTTGTAAATATAAAAATAAAACAAAACGTATTGTTAATATCAATTTATGATCAAGTTGTTTTCAGGTGGAGGAAGCAAACAATCGTAAAGGCGTCGGAACTTTTTTAGTGCCGATGAACGGCGGCATTTGGACTATGTGTGTGTCTTTGGAAGGTAATATTCTTAAATGATCGCTAAAGAAATTTATTTAAGCTAGTTAGTAATACTTCCTTTAACCATTTCAACTAATCTCTAGGCTTGTTCAGAATAGTCCAATGGTATTCGAACACACGACCGCAAGATCGGTAGTCCGTACTCCCATTAGGCTATTGAGTCTTACTCTAATATCTATGACGTCATAACTAGCCGAGCACATTATTTGAAAGTCATAATAAGTGGTGTGTCAGAGGAGGAGGCGAGGATCTTGTCGCGGGCGGGGTTCCCGCAGGAGCCGCTCTGCACTAACTACTTAGCTAACAGCGACGACGAGGAGCCCAGAGCTGACTGGCAACATCGTTAGTATATTTTAATTACTACACACTATACTACACACGCTTATTTATCCTTTCATTATACCTCTACATTATTTTTTTATTACAATTGCAAGCGATTGTGTTAGTTTTGATTTGATTGTCACAAATCTATGTCATCATCGAGCAAGAAGAGGGGAAAATAGGATAGAAAAAAAAACTAACAAAAAAACTTATGATGTTCCTAAGAAACGGTGTCGAAATATGGTGAGCTCAAATAACATAATCATGGTAAGAACGGGTACAACTTTGACTAAACTATCGCTCAACTGACGTGCGATTTTCAATTGTTTAGCAGTTCAACTGTTTAGTTGCATAACTACTTGAGTAGTGTGCGCAACTTATAAGCTCAAAAATGAAAGCGTGACAAAACAGTTGTGCGATAGTTTAGTCAAAAAAGATGTCATCATGAATGGTTTCCTTTCAAGCTGGTTATTGTGACATTACGTGTACTAGGAATGCAGAACCTTTCAATATCATGTGCACTGGTGTGCCTCATCGTGTTGGGCAGCGCGGCGCTTGTGGGCGCCTTCGGTGTCTGCAAGCACCAGATCAGTGCCGTACTCGTTACTGGAGTCATGTACTTGTTGGCTGGTATGTTGTCCTAGTACCTTACACTTAATAATAATAAATTACACCATAACTTTACAAATAACAATTTCGCCAATACATTGGTATCGATTGTCAGTTATCATAAAAGGAAATAATCAATTGAATTAACATGTTTACATTTCTTTTTAATACATTTTAGCTATTTCACACTTACCTAAACAGTATCTTAGTGTATATTTCATAGCTTCTTATTTACTAACTCAATAAAACGCAATCATAGTGTATTTTTTTAAATTTCATTTAATAAAAAGTCCTACACTTTAGACTCGCTACAAGCATTTTTTTTTAATTATTAATAGGTTTAGGAAAGGGACAAAAACTACACGACGACTGGGTCAGCTCGCCCGGTGCAATACCACAACCACACAGAAGAAGCAATTCCATTCTCGTTTTAGTCCCTCTTTCCTTCCACCCCTTTGTCAAGAGGATATGATGGGAAGAAAAAGTGGATTTGACGGCGGGGAAATATCCTGTTTATGTGCGTTTCCTCTGTCGATTAAGATTAGGCAACAGTTCTGCAATTGCGCATGTCTATGGGCAGCGGTCGCCTCGCCAATTCTGCGGATTATAGTGGCCGTTTACTTATTATATGAAAAAAAAACTTGCAGGTCTATTCGCGATGTTTACCCTCATGATAATCCACTTCAAACGTATCCAACGTGTATCAACACGCAGTAGTCAGGGTGACGACACCGCCGACGGTGTGGTCGGGCCGCGCTCCGCCGCGCTGCTTCTCCTCTCCGCGCGAGAGTTCACCACCAGCTGGTCCTTGGAACTGGGCTGGGGAGGAGTAGCTTTAGCTACCACCACTTCGTTACTTTGGATATTATTATCCAAAATAATGAGATACAACCCTATATCAACTATGATTTTATAGATTTCTCCTTTATAATCAAAGAGATACAAAGATATATAGAGGCAGCATAGTTGAAATTCACTAGATCCTCATCCACACGTCAATTTAAGAATTGTATTTAAATGAATTACCAATAGTTGACAGTTATTCATATTTAAATGTTTGTTTTATTTTGTGACACTATTTAGTTTATTTCATAACTAAAGATGGAGGTTATTATAATTTTGTTTTTTTTTTTAACATGTCAATACAAGTATATGAAAGGCACTAAATTTGACAACTAACATAGTACCTTTCAAAGAAGTTACCGGTGAAAAAAAGATGCTCACTATGTCTGGTCTATATATTTCTTATGTCTTTGTTTATAATACAGTCAATTACAAATCGTTATATCGCGCAATATTGCTTTCAGCTTTTGGCTGAAGTTTTAAATCTTGTAGATGTAACTAATAATATTGATTAAAAATGAATAATTGTTGTATTTGAATTAATTCTTTAAGAATTTTAAATTAGTTTGTGCAATGAGAAATGTTTAGAAAATTGGTAATTGGTATTATAAAAATATTATTTGTAAGTACGAAATCGGAGCAATTAAACCTAATTTGGACTAAAAAAAATCTATATAAAACATAAAATCTGTGCTCTCCCTTTTTCCTATACATGGTTCCTCTTCAAATTTATACCCGCAGTTATAAATATGAAACAATTAACAAAACCTAATACAAAAATCTAAATTATTTTGTATTCGTATTTCGAAGTTTACGCTTTATAAAAATTAGCTTAGGCATACGCCAAGCTTGCTGCCGTCCATTGCTATTATATTGTTAAAATTGTTTCTAAAATTTAACCTACGTCATTAAAAATTTAAGCCAATCACTTTGGAGCTTATAAAAATTAAAGTGAAAAATTCGAAAGGTTTTTAAATGTTACAGATTATAACAAACTATACTCTTTGTTAAATTCTTTGCTTAATCTTTGACATTTGCTTCCAAAGCTTTTAAGCTTTTGACTTCTACAAAAATTCAATTGAGCACAGTAATTATTTTTTTGGGTTGTATTTTCTTGCTAATAAAATTAAATAAAAATGTCCCATATTTAAATCTTGTGTTTTTTATATTCTGTTACCAGTGACCAGTGGTGTCAAACATTTTTTTAAAAGTATTATTTTTCCGTGTAAAATAGAATATTATTTATTTAAAAGTATTAAAAATGTGCGTTGTGTAACTTGAGTGATTGAAGCTGTGAAAATGTAGATAATATTTAGATTAGCAAACAACGAAGTAGTAACACATCTTAATTAAGTGATTATACTATTAAGGTATAGATATAGATAATTCAACATTATTTGGCGAGATACTGCAAAATGAGGCATTCGCACACAAACGGCGCCAAATTATGTTAAACTAACTATAATTATTAATATTATAAATGAAAAAGTTTAGATGGACGAATGGATGTATGTTTGTAGCCAAAACGGCTCGCCGGATTTCGACGAAATGTGGTATAAATGTAGAGGTTAGTCTTGAAGAACACATAGGCTACTTACTTTTGTTTTGTTAAATTCTACGCGCACGGAGTCGCGGGGGAAAGCTAGTAATTAAATAAATTAAAATTGCATTGTAGTGTAAAATCTTAAAACTTTTTGAAAAGAAATAAATCATTAGTACAATATAGACAACGATGTTTAAAACTATTAAAATAATATTTTTGTTTAATAATAATAATTCCGAATATCTATTTGTGTGATTTAGCAGTATTTAATTAAATTACAAATATATTGATTTTATTTTATATAATTTAGTACCAAATGTTTACAACTCCCTTTTTGCCGCTTACCCTGTACAGTATTGTGCGATATTGTTATATGACGACAGATTGCTATCGTAGTCGTAGCATAGAAAGTAAATTTGTCTAAACAAAGCGTGCGTCTAAGCGTGCGCATAACTTTGACTAAACTATCGCACAACTGTATAGTCTCGCTATAATTCTTGAGCTTATATGGAAGTGCGCATACTACTTGATTTTTAGTTGTGCAAAACAGTGAATGGGCTGCAACACAATCGACAATCGCACAACTGTTGCACTATACTTTAGTCAAAGGTGTGCGTCCGCTCTTCAAAAATTAAAATATATTTAACAATTATTGCAGCTATAATTTAATTTGTAAGCACTTCTATGTATTATTTAATTTTATTGTAGTATTCTAAAATGTTACTTTACTGTTAAAACATTTTTTTGTACTTCGAAAGCATAAAATAATATTTTGTTTATTTGCAGTTTTATTTCTTCCACATCGACTATAATAACAAAATTTTTATCTAATCACATACTGGAAAAAGTAATTTTCAAAAGATATTCAACAATGAGATATTAAGTTTATAGGTTATTCGGCCTAGTAATCTTTAAGCCTGAGTTAAAACCCTAGCAATGTGTTTCCAATTTCGATATTCATATGTGCGTTTAACTAATGTCGACTCGATACTACTTTGTAACCACACGGCTAATTTCTGTCTGGCGGACACCACAGCCATTATTTGAAATTTGAAGAAAAAATAATACTTCACTTAATATTAATAATAGTAATCTATAGCCCGGAAAATAGAAAAGTATTCGCACCCTACCGGTTACGAAAATGTAAAAAATAATCTTGATACCTAACTGGTTAGGTATCTTTAGTTAGGTAAACGGAAAAAGCCTAGGCGACTTAGTTTTTTTTAAAATCCACGCAGACAGAGTTGCGGGTGAAATCTAGTACAATAATAAAATTTTAATTAATTCGTAGCATAAAAGTTCTTCCTTTGCGATATTTAGCTATATACTATATATTTTGAAACATATTTCGTCTGCAAAGTTGATAGGTGATTGGGGTGGTTTACTGAACACGCGAGGGGTAATTGCGGTCTAAACGGAGTAATTTGCTGTACTTTATTACCATGACTCTTTACTACCCCTTAGTTTGAATTCAAGGCTGTTTGCTGATCAACAGTTTACTAATCAAAGATTGGCAAATTGGCAAGAAGTTGATATAAAAGTCGATAAAAACGTGAAGCATTAATCTGTAGAATGAAAGAAAATTGTTAAATCTGTTAAGATTCGTGTAATTTTCATCGACTCTAACTTGAACAATTTGATTTTTTTAGATATATCAATCATGTTACTACAATATCGCCATATTTCTTATAACTATACCTGGAATTTGTTAATTTATTACAATTTAATTACTTAGTATTTTTTGCATAACATTTCCATTCATACGTGTTCTAAAAATAGTTGCGAATTAAGAGTTATTGACATACTTTTTTTGCATTAAAATAATTCCACTTTTCCATTTTAAGCACATTCATGTGCTACGAGTATTTTCGTGTCAATATTTTATGTATTTCAACAAATGTGACGAGCATTTCATATTTGAGTTATTCCAAAGCTTTGAAAGTAATATTTATAAAAGCAGATATTTTCTCTCTGCGTTTCAAACGACGTGTGGTTTACGGTCCAACTTATTTCATGTAGTTCGTAAACTATAGAAATAAAAGAGACACAAACTAAAATGCTACAGGGAAATTAGGACGTACGCTCTCTAGATACAACTTTTATATTTATGTGTTGCTGAATTTCCGCAACTATAAATAAATAACACATGTGCAGTCCCACTGAGTTTAATGGTTACATAAATATTCCTTTAGTGTGTATTCAACATTTAATACTATACCAATATGATAAAGAAGAAAGAATTTTGCAATCAAATATACAAAATCACTACTGGATCGATTTCACAAATATTGCCACAAAAATATTTACATAAGAATGAATATACAATGACTTATAAAAGAATAGTCGCTAAACTGCACAGTTTGTTAGCGACAGACAATTATTTCTTAAACATATATCTTACAAAGACATATTAATAATATATAGACGAGGAACAGTGAACGAAATTCCTTCGCCGATACCTTCCCTGAAAAGCACTATATCAGTGTCAAGTTTAGTACTTGACAACTTAATTTCCCCTGAACGAAGTCTATGGACGGGCAAAAGCTACTCTACAATGAAGGACTTTTACCTGCTTGAAGTATACGATAATTTCAACGTTTTAGGGCCTGTCCCACCAAATTGTAAATTGTCTGATAACAATCAACGTGTAAAATATGTGATGGAAATATCGGATTTTGTTACCTTATCTGACGGTGACGTCATTTAAATCTATTTAAACTTATATCAGCTAGTGGTGAGACAGGCCCTTAATATTGTTGAAAAAAACGTAAGCAATTTTAATATGTTTTAAATCGTTAGCTCCTCCATCTTACTAATATTATAAATGCGAAAGTTTAGGTGGATGGATGTCTGTTCGAGTTTGTAGCCTAAACTGCTGAACGGAACTCGATGAATTTTGGCGTATATGTAGAGGATAGTCTAAAAAAACACAAAGGCTAATCAATTTTATTTTTTTATTCCACGAGAACGGAGTCGCGGGCGAAAGCTAGTTTATAATAAAGTAGTATAGTTATAGCTAAAGATTAACTATAAAAACTCAATTCAAACTTCACTAATTGGTATGAAATTCTAAAAGCGTAAGCTCCAGCTTGTTTATTTCACAGTTAACTCGGCAATTATAAAATGCGCTCCACAACGCCATCCGCCACTTATGTATTCTAGGCGTGTCGACTTCCATTATAGCTCACAAGTAATTGGCGCAGACGGAAATTGGTTGGTCACTAATTAATTGGTTTAACACGCAAATACAATATTCATGCAAATATTTGAGATGCTACATGGCACATAAACCTACTGAAGTTATATGTCAATTCAATTAATAATATACTAATAATATAAATAATATAAATGCGAAAGTTTAGATGGATGGATGTTTGTTAGAGTTTGTAGCCTAAACGGCTAAACGGATTTCGATGAAATTTGACATAGACGTAGAGGATAGTCTGGAAGAACACATGGGGTACTCAGTTTTGTTTTCTTTAACGCGGACGGAGTCGCGGGCGAAAGCTAGTCTATCAATAATTATTAACAAAATCTTAATTAAAAAAAAAAAGATTAAAAAATAAACTATCCGACAACGATAATATTGTCATATCTATCAGTATTTAAATTGTTTAAACTATCGTGAGGTAACTAATTATTTTACGGCTCTTACGTCATACTTTTTTCCGGTGACGGCACCGACCAGTTTCAAACCCTGCGGGGGTCCTTCTTCAGGGCGAGGGTTAATGATGTGTATTGTGTATTTATCATGAGATATTACTTCAACCGAAAATTAATCAGTGCGAGGCGCGACGTGACCGCGAACAAAAGCTAACTAATACTCGCCCTGAAAAAGGATCCCCGGAGTGTCTGAAACTCTCGTCACCGGAGGATAAAAAGGTCTAAACATGTTCTCAAAAAAAATCATCAAAAGATTCGGCAGTGGAAACTAACAGTTACAAAACGACTAGACTTTCCCGCCCACATCGCCGGATGTGCTTCCGACGCCCGTCAATTTGTGTTGACGTCCTCAATAGACGATGGATAAAATTATTTATAGAGTAATTGAGATGTGACTTAATCAATTTATTCTCGAATATATTAGTTTAGAAAAGGTACGGTATATTTGATATATATATTCCTACTAGCTTTTGCCCGCGACTCCGTCCACGTGGAATAAAAAAACAAACCAAGTATCCTATAGGTTCTTCCAAACTATCCTCTACATCTAAGCGTCATTTGATCGTCTTTAAACATTTTGATTTTAAAATTCAACAATAATTCGACATCTTACTAATTTTACGAATGCAAAGGTTTAGATGAATCAATGTTTGTTAGAGTTTAATGGTTCAACGGATCTCGATAAGGTTTGCCATAAACGTAGAGCATAATCTGGAAGAACACATAGGCCACTTTCTTTTGTTTACTTTTTAATTTTATAATAATCATAAAGTGTTAATGCGGTCTGACCTGATTATTTCCCTTTTCAGTAAAGGTTTATGTTTCCAATAAAATGTGTACCTATTTACTTGAACGTAAATGTTTATTGCTTGCTATAGTAAAAGTACACTAACAATCCAGGTGAAGGCTATGGTTTTTATTAAGAAAATGTTTAAAATTTTAAAAAATATACGTTAAATGTACAATCATACATTTTGCTACTTTAATTTTTCTATATCGAATTTTTATTTAAAAAAAAGCATTGTGTTTGTTGGAATATTTCTTCATTTACTTGACATTGGAACTTTCTAGAATATCCAGGTTATTTATACACATTTCCTTGCAAATTAACATACCAAGCATCGCGGAGAATTATGATTAGAACGGGAATAATAAATTCCAAGTTATCACGCGAGAATTTTTACTTTTATTACAAAAGTTGCAGTGATTATCCTAACCAGTTGTAATTATTTAATTTCAAAAATACTGCATGTAGTTTCACTAGGTCTTGTGAAAATATTTTGTACTGGTTATTTATGAAAATCAAAACACTTCTATAAATTCCAGTCAAAAATTCATCAAAGAATAAAATATTGTGCATAACAGACTCGAAAGGCCGTCTTAAAAACTAATGCGGTAGTATGATATAATTTAAATATTTTTATGAAACTGCAACTTCAAATGTAACCCGATTAAAGGTAGACCCGCATTATTTAAAATTATTCCGCGACCGAAGCAAATTGCGACCTTGACCTAAAAGTCGATATATACTTTGAATAGATATCATCGACAAAAGGCTTGCTATACACCTGACACTTCCAACACTATGAAAGGCTATCCAATTAATTTACAACGATAAACACGTATGAAAAAGGTAGCTCGCTACAAATGCTTTAATGAAATATTCCGAGACATTTCAAGTCAACACAAAAGTATTGAAATAGTTCAATTACTTAGTAACAGTTGTATTGTTTTTAAGGTTTTAATTTATTTTAGCGGAAAATTATCTTAAGTACCTTTTTTTGGTGTCAAGAGGAAAATTTTCTAAAGATACCTTGCCCTCTGGGGGGAAGGCATGGTTATGTAGTATTTGACAAACTAGAACCCCCTCGGTGGCCATCCTCTAGTGACGTAGTGAAGTCTCTTTGTTGTCCATTAAGTACCTGCAAAATTACTTACCTTACCTCTACTCAACGTCTATTCTAGCACTAATAGCACTCCGGACGAGATTTGTACGGCGCTCCGTTTTTTACCATAACTAGGAGGGATGGCTATATCAGAGTACAATATAAATTCTCAGACTCTGGCCTCTGGCGCCCTGGGTCGCGCAAACCCACACTAACGCCGGTCTACTACTACAATCTATATATCTACTTGTACAATACATTCATGATATTATTATAATAGTGATACAACGCTGTAACATCTTTGCAAGAATAGTCCCCTTTAAGTGCGGTCTTCGTCAATGAAAGGGTATACAACGCAACATTAATTGCAGATGTCTATGGGCAGCGATCGCTCCGCCTTTTCGGAGAATTTCGGTGGCCACTCGCTCGTTTGCCACCAAATAATATAAAAAAACAAGTAAGTAATGACTTGTGTTCGAAAATTATGCTTTCATCGTAACTATTTCGTTGGAAGGAAAGGAAAAATAATGATTTGCATAAAAGTAATTTCCATACAGCAATATTTTACGCCATTCACCTTGACATATTTCACTTTGCACGCAAGTTTCGCTTAAGCAAAATATAGTCACTTAATTACCATTGAATATATAACATGTTTAAAAATATGATTTATATAGAGAAATTGGGCCTTCAAAAATACTAACGTATACCTATTTTTTACCAATCTTACTTCTTAGTAACATTATAAACGAGAACGTTTAGATGGATGGATGTTTGGTAGAATTTATAACCGAAACTTAGCAAAGATGTAGAGCATAGATTGGAAGATAACATAGGCTACTTACCTTTGTTTTTTTTTTTTAATATAAATTTACACTTTTAATTTGACCACACGAAAATTTTACACAGAATTTTATCGTTTTTAAAGAGGTTTTTATGGCCGATTAAAATAAATCTTTTGTGCAAAAGAAAATGTGACGTATCAACGAAGTTTACAATAAATGAGTTAGATTGAAAGAAGCCGACCTAGTTGTCGATCTAAAGTGCTTTTACGTGTCGAGTTAATTCGAATATCTTGTTCAGTTTTGTTCATTCTATATTATAGAAATATGGCGTCTTTTTTAAATACTAATAGCTAGGCTATTAGTTGCTATGTATTTCGTTTCCACTGTCAAAACATGTATACAAAACATATTGTCATCGCTCTAATTCCCGTTAAAAAAGAGAGAAAACGCTTTTGTAGAAATCCAAAATCATATTTTAAATGGGATATTTATATACTTTTAAAAGAAGTAGGAATTTAAGAGAAACAAATGTTAAATATTTAATGATTTTATTTATGTTTTACACAATGTTACTTAAATCAAATATTTACAAGTAATAAAATCAATACATATCGTAAAATTCTAATCATCTTGAAGTAATTTCTCTTCAATATCTATATCTTCCATCCTTCTCTTTCTAGCTTTCGGTCTCTTTCCGTGCATAGTGTCCAGTTTCATCTTCTTAGCTTGTTTCTTCTTTTCTTTTAATTGTAACTTTCTCTTTGCCGCCTTTTCTGGATTGTGTACTTTTTCTTGTAGAATAACCTGTGAAAAGGATAGTTTTTATTAATGTGTATTGAAATTAAAATGTTATTATTATATTTAATATTAAAATTTGATTTAAAAAACATTTTCTCTCATATGTCGATATACAATACGAATGGATAAAGTTGAGAATATGTATATTAGAGGAAGTTTGAAAGTAGCGCCAGTGGTAGAGAAATTGAGAAGCAAAAGGTTAGCGTGGTATGGACATGTTATGCGACGAGACGATGGAGACATAAACCTGAAAGTGTTAAGAATGAATGTGGATGGCTACAAAGGAAGAGGAAGACCGAAGAAAGTATGGATGGATTGTGTGAAAGAGGATATGCTTAAGAAAGGAGTGGATTCAGATATGACGGCTGATAGAGATGTATGGAAGAGCAGCACATACTGTGCCGACACTCCATTAGGGATAAGAGCAAGTTGACGATGATGGTATCGATATACAATAGACAAACAAAAATTAAAAAAAAGCCTTAATGCTTACGAAATAAAATTTACTTTAGATAACATACTTGAACTAGTTTTCTATTGGTAAAATCTTTAAGCAAGTAAACATCAACAATTAATTTTTTTACCTCTATTAAGCCTTCAGTTTTAACTGTATAGTCGGATTATTTTTATTTCATTTTTATAATTCAGTGCAATTAGGAAAAAATATAAAACGATGTTTGACTGTTAGTTAATCTTACGGTGATTTATCTAAGAACCATTCCTTAAGTTTTTTTTTAAATTAGTTTTTATTTTATCTCAGACGAGCTGTTGCCCGCGACTTCGTCCGCGTGGTATTAGAAAACATACGAACAATATAAATAACAAAAAGCTACGTATTCCTCGGGAACCGGACCCCTCGGGGATGAAGCTTATCCCATGTATACTCCAGGCTTTGTTTTACATCTGTGCCAAATTTCAATAAGATATGTTGAACCGTTGCAGAATGATCGAGTAAACATCTTAATGTTTTAGTTCTTAGTTTCTTAAAACTAAATTAATTAATCCCACGGGAACCGTAACTTATCCCGGGATAAAGAGTAGCTTATATGTTCTTCCAGACTATGCTCTAAACCTGTGCCAAATTTCATGGAGATCCGTTCAGCCGTTTAGGCTACAAACGCTAACAAACATCCATCCATCCATCTAAACTTTCGCATTTATAATATTAGTAAGATTAGTAAGAAGTAAGATTACAGTTAAAATCGTACAGTTCTCAATTTTGCCTACACACATTTTTTAATAGTTAAAACTGAAGATTCCAAGCATGCTTAATACTGAACATCAAAGTATACCTTTTTCCTTTCAGCTCTTCTTACATTCAGTCTGGTTTGTGCATCGGCTACTAATTTACTGTACTCTATATCTCCGATCTTCCTTCTTAACTTCTTCCCCAGTCTGCCCGCCAGTTGCTTAGCAACGGTCGCGGGCGTGGCCGCGTCGCCTGTCGAAAGTTCTCGAACTATCGGCGGCAGGATTACGTCTATCACATTATTAACGTCATCAGCCTCTAAGAAGCTAATCACGTGTAGCCACATCGTGAAGATCGCTGATCTCTGGAAAAAAAAATATAGAGTAAAATTGATATGAGAAATGTTTGTTTACGCACTAGATTGTAATGTAATTTATTTGTGTATTAAGTGTTCCTGTGCGGCTTTATTTAATGAAATCTTTATTTTAATTGTTTACATTCCATTTAATGGCATATGTCAAAATTCAAATGCGCAAATGACAACGAATTTTTACATAATCTGTAGAAATGTTTTTTAGTCTATGCAATTGTTAATGGCAACTTTTTTACTCTGTGCTACTTCCATTCGGTCAACCTAAGACTATTTGTAAAAATAAGCAAATTAAAATCGGAGCTTTTTAAAGGGAGTTTTTTTTTTTAATCTTGTTATTTAATAAACAAAGGCTTTTGCGATTGGATAACAATTAACATGGCTATTTTTATTCTTTGTTGCTATTGGCTTGTATTTTTGTCTCTTTGTCATGTCATGTTTTATTCAATTTCTTCACTCCCTAAGTTAAAAAAAGCGTGTCGTAAGAGAATTATTATAAAAAAATCTTGTAACTGCTGAAATCTAAAATACAAATGTGTGTTTACGTTTTATTACATTAGTATAGATTACATTCCATACAATAAAGGAAAACAGTGTATTTTAATGTTGAAAAACATATTAAAAAATGTGTAAGGAATTAAATAAATAAATAGATTATATACTTACAATATTCATAGACGTGGCAGCTCTAGCGACTTCAGCGTTTATAGCTCTTCGTAACTTAAAAAGTATCCATCGGATGTTCAGTTTAGCGTTGTCCGATTCTGTTTCCAACTCTATTTTATTTGACAGTTTAAATGATGACATTGTATGAACTAGTTTTAAAATTAAAAACATCACATCTGTCACCTAAAAAAAAATTTTTTTTTCATTTTCCGTATTCAGAATAACCCAAATCTTTTATTAACATTTTAAAAACAAAAATGTGATTAATCCTCTTGTAGTAGACTTAAAATGTTCTTTAAGAGAGTCGACAATATTTTTCAAATCCACTACCCCTTCCCAACCTCTCCTTATAAGAAAAGGGTGGTAAAGAGAAAGGGACTTAAATTAGGCCTCCGGCACCACACTCATCAGACGAAACACGGAATTGCTTCCATTTCACGCCTGGCTTCTGTGTGGTCGTGGTATTACTGGGGGCGTGCCGGCCCTGCAGTGCTAAGATGTTAAAGCGGGCACTACCACTGTTAATATTATAAATTCGAAAGTTTAGATGGATGTTTGTTTAGGCAACAAACTGTTGCCTAAACTGCTGGATCTTGATGAAATATGGCATAGATGTAGAGCATACTCTGAAAGAACACATAGGCTATTTACTTTTTAATTCCACGTGGCAAGAGTCGTGGGCGAAATCTAGTTTATTTGTAATAAAAAACACTTACTGCATCCGCCATATCTTTGCTAACAGTAGGCGTGTATTGAGCACATAAATCCAATACCAAACTCCTCAAGCAAGGCTCCGTATCGTAGTATATAAAACCTCTTTCATTATCCAACTTCTTTTTTACTATCATATCCAGTTCTTCATGATCTATAGATAATAGTATCTTCCCCAGTATCCTGACAGATCTCAAACGAACCCACGCGTGAGGATAAGCTAACAACACTTTACATTGCTCCGCGATCTCATCGAATTCACTAAAGAACTTTTCATTCTTCAAACTAGACGAGCAATGGATGGTGATGTTTTCAATAAAATTCAACATTTGTATAAGACTATGGTCTCTTTCGTTTTGTTTCTCCTCCTCGGATTTATTGCCTTGATCCAGTTTGACCTTGACGAATTGTCCTTCAGTATTTTCATTACATAAAAGCATTATTTTCCCGCTGACTAACGAAAGGATTGATTCGAGACGGTTTTTGAACTCCTCCTCTTCGACGTGTACGAATCTTGTTGCTAATTGAGCTGCTAATTCAAAGTGAATCGGCTGAAAAAACATATAATTGAACAAGGTAAATATTACGATAAATATAGCAAATTATTTCATCATTGCTTCATGTTTTAATTTAGTTTTTAGTATAACTAATATCAATATAAGACGAAATAAACTATCAAATTTGTTACATAGTGGAAAGGACTAGTTCTCATATAAACTAAATTTGAAGATAGATTATTGAAATCGAAATTATTCTTCAACAATAAAAATTCCTTACATTTGGCCAAATACTGAACAGAATTAAGTACTTCGCTACGTAAACATCGTTTAAAATTTGATAGGCGTAAGGAATTTAGAAGTTAAAGGCCTTTCCCACCACTGGCTGATAGAGGCTCAGATAGCTTAAAAGTGACGTCACTGTCCGATAGAGTACTAAAAATTTCCATCACATATTTTATAAGTTCGATTGTTATTTGACAATTTACAAGAATTGTGGGACAGGCCCTTAAACGTATCATTGTAAACGCTGTTACATTTCTCGTTTCAGTATTCGGCACTCTTAACCGAGAGTATATCCTTACCTGGTTATCCTGTAAGAAAGCTAGAACTAATTCAAACAATTTATTCCTTTGAATATTGGGCAGTTTTTGTATAATCCGCTGTATGCAGGCAGCGGCCGCCGCGCGGCATTCCGGCGCCGCGTCGTTCACCATACACGCACCTAGAGCTAGGAATATATACTCACTGAACTTTGTTAATTGTTCCTGAAAGAAATTATTATATTAACATAAATATAACCTTATGCGGAAATATGGCAAACAGATTTACTGAAAACCGATACTACATCTTAACCAATGTCGTTTAAACTGAGCCTCCTATTGCCATCTGTTACAATTATTTACTGCATTTTTATTTTATTTATTTACTGTTGCGCGCGACCTCATCAGTGTGAAATTAATAATAATAATGTATAGTCTATGTTACTCACAGATAAATTACCTTTAAAACGGTGAAAGAATTTTTAAAATCGACCCAGAAGTTTTTGGGACACAAGGCAAAAACAAGGCAATTTTTCTATAAGTGGAACACAGAGAATTACCGCGACTGTACATAGCATATATACATTTATAACAAAATCTATCCAGAAATCTAAAATTTACGCTTTTTTGTAGAAATGTTTCTTTATGTTTAAGTAGGTGTCTACAAGGAATTAACACCTTCAATGCCAACGTCTGGCTGGTCGTGTTCAATTTTATACCAAAAATAATTTATTGGCTTGATATATTGAATCTTACCGGTTTTAATTTATTTATTATCATGTCAAGAAACTTGAGCGAGGATTCTCTGCCGTGTTGTAGCTCGAAGTTCAGTTGTGTCACAAAGAATTCTATGAATTTGTCCATACGCTTGCCCGGCGTGTAGTGCGTTAAGTAATTTACGAACAGACCACGAGCTTCGTCTCTGGAAAAAAAGTATTTATTAATTAGTAAAGAACATAAATAATCTATACTAGTATTATAAAGAGGGAATATTTGTATTTTTTTAAGTATTGAAATAACACAAACACTATTGGACCGATTTCAATAATTCTTTCATCATTAAAACGCTACGTTATTATGAACATAGGACAATTTTTTCCAATTGCAATTTTATGCAGACGAAGTCGCAAAGAACAGCTAGTCTTATATAAAGTCGCAAAGGAGATTTTTTTTTTAAAAAACTTAATACGAACCTTGACCTCGCCGATTCACTTAATATGCAAATTTTCGACACTTTCTCCATAACTTCATGCAGTTCCGGTGACACGAGTCTTCCTTCTAAAATGGCTTTCAACAAAGCGAAGGAATTTGCCTGCTTTTCGTCACTCTGACAATCCTCTTCAGCGTAAAGTAATAAAGTCTTCAATTGATCTGCCTCTAGTTTGTAATATTTCACATTTCGTATCAACACTGTAACCGCCTGAAAAAAATATCTTTGATATTAAAAAAAATACGGTACTAAATATACATTATCTTTGTTTTCGGTAACAATTATCAAAATTACATTTTTTAATATTCTAAATATAATGGTATTTATATATTTAATTTCTTAATAATTAACACTTTAAGTGCAATCGTTTCTTTAGTATGAAAGTGCTCGCCAGGCCACAAGGTGGCACTCAAAGTGTTAACATACTAAAGTCTTATATTATTCAAACGGTTAAAATTGTCAATTTAACACATACCTTGAAAGCATTCCTAACTAAATGATAGTTATCATTCTGTTTGCTGATTTCAAACGTCGCATATTTATGTAATATCAGAAATATCGTCTTTACAATATCTTGTATCATTTCCTCCAGTGTAGTTGTGCTTACCCTTATTGTCCATAACGTCGTTATACATTTCATAGCGACCGTACATACTTTTATATGATCGCTTCTCAACGAATCTACTAACAAAGGTATGAGAGCATCTACAAACGCTCTACATTCCATTCTCGGTACTTTCTCCCTTTTAAGTATAACATAAAGTATGTTCAAACTAAACTCGACTAAAACATGAGCGTTTGTTTTACTCGATGTTTTAACTAATCTTGCTTGAGATTCCTTATTACGCTTCGGTATTTCAGGTATAATAAAACAATCAGGTTTTGCTTGTAACATTTTTTCTTTCTGACTGTCAGTTATCTTTCTTTTAGGTACTCCTAAAACGAATTCTGGAATACTCTCTGATGCAATACCGTGTAAGAAAATGAATAAAGATTCGATTTCTATGAATTTATTCGTCACCAAACCTGTAGATACATGCATTAACGCCTCTTGTACTTTCATAACGATTTTTTTGGAATGATGTTTTTGTAAAACTTCCTTAAAAGGTATTAACAAGTTGATTAAACATTTCTGTGTTATATTTTGCGATAAAATCATTAATGTTACGTAACTCTTTTTGCTTGGTTTCGCTTCTGGTGTTTTGTAACGTAGTTTTTCTACTTCTTTTTCCTCAGATAATGCACCGAATAAATCGTTAGTGCATACATTTAGTATTGAATCTAAATTATCATCCAAATCGCCGGGTTTGAATTCACTTTTTAATGCATCTAACACTGAATGTATGGTTGCAACTAATACGTGTACTTGAAAGCCTCTTGTAAGGAGTAATGTAACATGTTCAAGGAACACACCAATATATTTAGTACCAACAGTGATCATAATCTTTTTAACTATATCTCTAGCTACTATTCTAACTTGTTTTAGTGGTGATTTTAAAAATGAGCATAGTTTTGTAATAATTCTGAAAAAAAGATCTTTTATTAGGTTTTTACTTCTTTCTGATTAATATCAGAATTGACATATTTCAATGGAATCGCGTCGAATGTTTATTCGTTTAACTTTATTACGCGTTTATTTATAAGGCTAGTTGACTTTATAAATTTGAATTTGATGTACCATCATATTACATTTTCTAGTTTACGCAATGTAAAGTTAAAAAAGACATTAACTGCTGCAAATATTAAGTGCCACACACATTGTGAAATGGTAACTTCGAGCTCTTTGCAAAAAATTGACAAAAGAAAAATACTTAAGGTACTATTCAAGTAACTATTTTAAAGTGAGATATAAATGATCAAATCAAAAGGAATATTTCTACTATACTTCTTTACAATCTGTCGTCAACATTTGTAAGGAATTTGTAGTTTAACTGGCATTATTTAAGACGCTGTTACATTAAAATGACGTTTAAGTATTTAGACGTAAGGTTGAAATTAAATCTTACCCTGGCAACTGATGTTTTAATACATCTCCAGGCAGCCGCTGCAGCAGTTTGACCAACGCTAAAGCTATCGGCACCCTCACCATATCCTCTTCTTGACGAGAGAATCCCATCTTTCGCCGATTCACTTTATGAGACTCTTCGTGTTCCGTCATCTTTCCTATTGCACTGAGAAATAATAAAAAATATAAATGTAAAATTTATTTTTGGTAGGAGGAAAACAAATCCATTACTATTCATACATTTAATAAGAGAAAAATAAAGTAAAATGTAAGGATAATTCAGAATAAAATTCTTAGTTATTTAACAATGTTTATGGACATTTAGAGCACGCTCACACCTTTGACTAAACTATCGCAACTATTGTCAATTGTTTCGCAGCCAATTCAACTGTTTAGTTGCACAACTAAAAATCGAGTAGTATGTGTACAAAAGCTCATAGGAATCAAAGAACGACTAAACAGTTGTGCGATAGTTTAGTCAAAGGTGTGCGCGAGCTCTTACATTTACATTACTTACCGATTTAACTGCGGCAATAATCCTGCTGTTAAAGATTTAACAATTCTGCTGCCAACTGAAGGTGAAACGACCGTTATTTTTTCAAATGCTGGTATATTTGATATTTCTTTGGTTATTTCTTCTTCTGTCTCTTCATTATTATCTGCTAATTGTAAATCTGTTTCAATATCAATTGTTTCATTTGCCTCGTTATTGTCGTCGTCTACATTGTCATTGGTTGTAGCTTTTTCTTCGTTACTATCTTTTATTTTATTATTCACATTTGTAGTCCAAGCTTTAGGTAATTCGATATTTTTAACTTTAGAAAAATCGAAATGAAAACCATCAAGTATCCCGACCAAAATACGAGTCAACTGTTTCTGATGTTCGGTTGAAACTCTCATTTTATTCAAATACAACTTGAGAATAACCTCGTAATGATACCACGGTAATAATCTGCAGCATGTTGATATTACTTCGATACATGCGTCTATTAAAGAATTTTTATCGCTATATTTATCATCACATATGTATATAGATGCTAGTGGTAGAATAAAATTCGTTAATGTTCTCGGTGTAGGACATTTAGTCATTTTTCTAGCTATTTTACTAAAACGTAGTAATGCTCTAACACGTCTGTGTAATTGTAAATGACAGATGTTTTCAAAAAAGTCTACTTCCAAATCTTCTTTATTTATCAAATTACTTAAATCAGTCAAAACTACGTCAGCTTCTGGACATTCTCTTGCTAATTCTCCTAACAAAGAAATAGATTCAGTCCGTAAATTTTCATTTTTATTATCCCTTATTCCAGTAGATATAAGAGCTAAAACTGTATCTCGTACTAAAAATTGACCATCGGTTGCTGATCGATATTTAAGCAATAATTTGGGAAGAATTTTCTTTAAGCACAATCCTGCACTATCGCGTAATCCAATATCTTTCTCTGTCCGTATAAAAAAAAAGCAATTGTTGATTATAAGTATTGCTAAATCTATATTTATTTCATTATTGTCTGCCATTCTGTATATTTCCTTGTAAGCATCCAATCTTCTATCAAAATCTGGCTGTTCTATCCATCTTTTGTTAAACGCGTTCATTTCTGTTATTACGTTTGCCATTTTAAGAAATACATCTTTATTTTCGTTTACATTCTCCGCTATAGAAACGAGTAATTTAAGCAAAAGTTTTCTCACTTCAACAGGATTTACTTTATTGAATAAAACAGCTATATTTTTAATGTATCTCTGTGGGTTAACACTGTGCCCTAAGAGATTAATTATTATGCTTACAGAGTATTCCATATTTTCTTCAGCCATATTCATACAAACTTTTTTAACCAGAATTGGTAGTAGCAGGCTTAATAAATCATCGCACATTTCTGGTGTTGTAACCATTTCAGTAACTCTTGATAATATTAAAAGATCTCTTTTATTTACTGTATTCGATTTAGCACTGTTAGCAATACGTCGTTTCATAACTTCTAAAATACTAGGCAGATGAGGCACTAATACTCTACTTCCAAAATTAACTTCATTTAGATCTTTACTAACATCTAATGATTTAAATGTTTCAATAGGTGGTATTTCATTATCTTCTTCTTCTGTTAGTGTAAGTAATTTTTCTATCATATCCAAAATTAAATTAACCACCCCTGGATTCGTTTTTGGTGCTAACAGAAGTTTAAAAATTGCAGGCAATACACTTAAGTTATCATTTTCGGAACACGTAACAAGGAGTACGTAATATCGTGGATTCTGACACCATGTGTTGAATAATTTTAGCAAAGATGTAGGGCTGTGAATGCCTTCGATATGTAGTTTTGGTGTCAATGGCCAGATAAGTGTTTCGTATAAAACATACAATTCTTCCTTACTCCAAGGATATTTATCGAATTGATCAAATAATTTTCCAAGAATACCAATAGCTATACCTCTAAGGTTCTTCATAACTTTTACATAACCAACATGTACTTTCTCAAAATTATTCAATACACCAGCAATTTGAGAACAAACCGCGAAATATACTTTAAAGAGCTGTCCAAGTAAAGCTTCATCCATTGAACCTCCAAAATATTCACGTACTATATCAAACAGATTGAGAACACTATGTAATTTGCCAGGGTAAGTAACAGATTTTAAATCTAAATTCTTCAAAACAGTATTATAAATCTCTTTAGGATTCAACGCAAAGTAATCTTTGAAGTATGAAAATGCCATTTCTATAAATATTTTCAATTCATTCTCTTTACACCCACTTAAATATCTCATGACTAAAGACCTTTTAGTTTGACCTCCGCCTTTTTTATCAGCACCTAGTTTAGACGTCATTTTTCCGTATAAAATTCTTAGTACAATTGGAATTACATGTTCTCTATCTTCAGGTTGTATATGTTTAGAATCTTCTGTTATTTTAAAAAGAGTTAGTTCATCTTTGAACTTTTTATCGTCAACAAGATTATATAAATTCTGTTTATATGGTAAAACATTCTTATTCTTATAATTCAATACACAATCTAACGCAAACTTTTGAAGTCCTGGATTCTTGTGTTTTAAGAATTCCAAATATAGCTCCCAAAATACCGATTCTTTGTACAACGCACGGGGGTTTTTAAACTGTGCTAAAACTTGCATTATATTTATTAATGTTTTGAATATAATTTTGCCTGATTCTGAATTTTTCGCTTCATTAACATCTAAGTTTTCTAAATTCCTTTCTATATCTTCAGTTTCTTCTGTTTCGTCAACTTCCATTGCTGATTTATCATGAACTTCTATATCAACTTTAAGTGCATTGGTATTATTAGTTTTTTTATAATCCTCTTCAATAAATTTCAAGAAAAGTCCAACTACATCTCTATTTCTAGCTTCACACGCTTGTATACAAAATGTCATAGTTTTTAAAACCAAATTCCTATAATTATGTAAATCAGGGCTTTCGTTTATATTGTTATACGAAGAATATAAATCTTGTAATGGTTCAAAGTGTGTATTTATTTCGTCTTCGAATTGGAAAATAGATAAATCGCTTTTAGAATTTACGAAAGAGAATTCAAGAGCTTCATAAAATATGGGCCAAAATTCCTCCACTGTTAACGCATTACCGAAACTTGCGATAAATTCAATAACAGGTTCCCAAAGTAATTTGAAATTATTATACAAAACTCCTAGCATATATTTTAATGCAAAATGATGGAATTCAGTATCCTTTGCTAGGACATATTGTGTCGTGTTAAATGTCAACTTCTGTAACACATTTAATTGTGTTCTATATTCTTGTATTGAAGGTAAAATGGATTCAACTTCGAAACATTTACTAAAGACAGAAAATTTCTCTTTTTTATCACCTATTTCCAATGATTTACTAAGTTCTTCTACATTTTCAAACAATTTATAAACATGTGTAGTTAATAAACGAACCTGCAAAGAATTCATTATTATAAATAAACAATCTTACCTCTTACTAAATATTATAAATGCGAAAGTTTAGATGGATGGGTGTTTGTTAGAGTTTGTAGCCTAAATGGCTGAACGGTTCTGGATGAAATTCATCATAAATGTAGAGCATAGTCTGGAAGAACACATGGGATACTTAGTTTTTTTTTTCACCCAGATGAAGTAGCGGATGCAAGCTCATAACTTAATAACTTACTTAAATGTAGGTTTACTTACAATATGAAACGGTGACGATACATTTGGTCTTAAATATGAATCAATTAATGATAAAAATCCGTATGTTAATCCATTTTCTTGTTCATATGCAGTCAGGTATATGTCAAGAAGTTGCAACGCTGCCAAATAATTGGGATCCGCTGCAAACGGGACGATCACTGGCAAAAACTTATCAATATCACAGATGCTTTTCATCATTTTACAATTCGATATGTGAATAACACATTCAATAGCATTTGCTAATATGAATAAAACTTTTCTCGAATATTTTGCGGTATTAGAAATATCACACTGTATTTTGATTTCCTCTTTATTTGCTTCAATATGCTTACTATCCAAAATATCCAATAAACGGGATATAACTTCACTTATTTTCTTAATAAATATATCGATATTCAATTTCTCTATATGAGGTAAAGAAAATAAAACACTCATTAATTCATCAGAATTTCCAATATGACTTTCTATGTCGTTTTCTAAAACTTTTTGTGCATATTCCATAAATAATGGTAACCCTTTCCCAAAATTTATTGGGTATTTAACCCATTCAAATAGTTTCAAACCATTTTTAGATAATGGTGATTTAGCTAAGCATATCTTCGATAATGTACACATGGCTTCATTACTAAAATTCGATTGCACAATAAAATTTAAAAACGGAGGTAATATGTGTAAATCAAACTGAGAATAATTGACCACATTTTCTACGAAATTAATAAGTATTTTCGGATAAGGCAAAGGTACTAGTGATTTTATAATTATTCCTGCATGTTCTTGTGATAGAAGGATGCTAGAAGACAAAAGTAATAAAGCACCAATTTGTGCGCACACTTCTAATACTCTTTCAGTTTGTTCGCAAATAACTTTAACAAGTATTATTGCAAATTGTTGAGGATTTGATAGGAATTTTCCCTTTTGATGTTCAATTACTTGTCCTGATAGTTTTAAAACAAACTCCAAACATCTGTTTTTATTATTATCTACATTATAATTGTCTTCAATAAATTTCATTACAGGAGTCCAGAATATTGTAAATTCTTTAAAAGATATGCCATGTAATGCATCTTCTATTGTTTGTGTGAGAACTTTAAACAATATCTCTTGATGTTGAATGTTATCTTTCAAATATTCTAGAAGTAGTGGGAAAAAAGTTTCAGCACAGCTGTGAAATTTGTTAGCAACGCCTTTGCATATTTCGAAAATTAAATGCCCTGTCCCTGTTATTGCCTGGAAAAGAGAAATTTTTACTTGAAGTATTTTCTTCCAAGACATCATAATACAGTTGTAAGTCAATAAAGTTAGGCTACTAATTTAGTTTTTTTTTTAATTCCGCACAGATACAGACAAAGTTGCAAGCTAGTCTTATTAATACTATAATTGCGAAAGTTTAGATGGATGGATGTTTGTTAGAGTTTGTAGCCTAAACGACTGAATGGATCTCAATAAAATTGGCATAGTAGTAGAATATAGTCTGGAAGAAAACATAGAGAACTTACTTTTGGTTTTTTTTTTAAATTTCACATGGACTGATTTGCAGGCTAAAGCTGGTAATTAATAAAAATGATTACTTACATGATCATTTGTTAGCAGATAATTTAAAGTATGCTGAAGAAACTTGTTCTTGTCTCTTATATCCCTTGCGACAAATGCAAAACTCTCTGCTGCAAAATTATTGATGTACTGCGGATGATTTTCACTCAATAATGGTACAATTCTTTTCAGAACAGTTTCAAGATCTTTTTTTAAATAAGGTTTCAATATTTTAAATAGAAATGCCAGACATATCAATGTCCACTCTAATCTCTCTGGATCCTTTGTGTTCAATAATTTTATAAGTATATCAAAAAACTTTGGAAAATGTGGATAGAAGTCATTTCGTAAATCCTTGGCTATAGAGACTAAAATCCTGAAAATAAACCATATTTCAAATCTTGTTAATATTATAAATGGCAAACTTTAAATGGATTGGTGTTTGTTACTCCATATGTCCAGAATGCCTCAACAGATCTCAATGAAATTTGTCACTGATTTTAAACATAGTCTGGTAGAACACAAAGGCCACTGTTTCCTTTAATTTTTATGTTTTATTAGTTATGGACAAGAACTAGCATAAATATAAATAATTCTATATTATTAATATAAATTTGGAAATAACATTAATGATTACTAAATAATTATTTCTTGTCTTGTAAATGTATTATTTAAACAAATAGTAAACTAACAAATAAATTAAACCACATTTTTAAATATATATCCAAATATTTGTATGTTCAGTTTAATAGCAACTAGATAATTCAATTAATGATGCTTACTCTAGTAATGGCTGTAAACACAACTGGTCTTCTAAATTTAAATATTTCTCAACAGCATTTAATACCTCTTCTTTCTTATGTATTAACTGTTCTATGGTAATAGTGCCGTGGATTTCCTTTTTAAACTTTTTAAAGTTTTCCGTTAAATTAAGAACATTCCATTTTTGTAAAGCCAGATGGAAGTGAGTTTCGTTTTCCTCTGGATGACCAGTGTAAGCATGTTCGATATGATATAACGCAGCATGCCGGATATCTATAGAATTTATTCGTTCCGCAAATGGTATAAACTGAAAATTTACATTAAAAAATTACAAGATATAGAAAGAAAATAGTAACCTTAAAATTTAGTCATACATACCCGAAATGTGTTAGTTGTTTTATGTTTTACGGGTTTCGACTTCATTGTAATGCTATTATTTTGTTAAAACAGCAGATATCACATAATTGTCGCAATGATACGAAAACGATATTTATGAAAATACTTGAAATACACAAATTAAATACAACAAACACTTTCACAGTTCACCGCCGTACACGTGCGTTTGACAAGTGACAACTGACGTTGACAATTGACAGCTGCAGAGTAAACCGCGACGTAAAGGCTACCAGAGCTTGACATTCATTAATAAATTATACAAAAATAATTACACCTTTGAATATGAAAACGTTCAATAGAAAAATTTAAAAACATGAGTTTAGTTCTCAGTTAATGTTACATTTTCATGGCATGTTTTATTACTTACTTCTTTTTAAAAAGTTTTTCAGATTACAGTTGCAGCCTCTGCACTACAAGGTGTTGTCAATGTCACAAAAAAAAATTGTTGAAAAGCGAAAAAAATTAAACTGATTTGATAAATTATTTTTCATTATTATTAAACTTAATTAATTTAGTTTTTTATTTGCTTTTATTCAATGCTTGCTAGGGCCGTTAATGCATTGCCTCTTGGGATTTCTCAAGGAATTACCAAACTTTACTTTTTAGGTAAGTATTATTTGCGTAGTTATCTTTCGTATTTACTTCTTATTGGAAAAAGTATTCGTCAAAAAAACACTAGTCATTGTGAACCAACATACGATAACGCGTATGATAAGAAATTACAGCATACATCTGTAATAATTAACATCCTTGTTATTTCCCCAGCATTAACTTGGAAACAACAAGGATTACATAGTTCTCAAGAGCATCACGCATTCAATAAAATGGATGTGAAGATTCTACCAGCCTTGCAAGATAATTATATGTACTTGATAGTAGATAAAGCTACTAAAGAGGCGGCGATAGTTGATCCTGTAGAACCCAATTCTGTGTTAAAAGCTGTGGAAGAACAAGGAGTGAAACTGACTAAAGTTCTTACCACACATCATCACTGGTAAAGTTATTTATACTAATATTTAAGAATGATTTGTATGTTTGTATCTACAAAATAACTCAAAAAGTACTGGGTGGATTTTAAAACTTCACTCTAATTCCACATGAACAAAGTCACAAGTAACAATTACTATAAATATGAAGCAAATATTTATCTGACTTTCCAATGTAATAAAAACAAAAAGTAACACCAATTGAGGAATTGCCTAATATGGGTTAAATGTAGATTTTTATGGGCAAAGGTTACTTCACTCTTTTTATAACAAAAACATTAAAACTCTACAGGGACCATGCTGGTGGTAATGAAAATTTGGTAAAATTGCACCCTGGCTTAGAAGTGTATGGTGGTGATGATCGTATTGGTGCTTTAACAAGAAAAGTAATGCATAATTCAAGGTTTAATATTGGTAATCTGAATGTACATTGCCTGTTCACTCCATGCCATACTGCTGGACATATCTGTTATTTTGTCACACCATCTGAAGAAGGGGAAGACGGAGTTGTTTTTACAGGTAACTAAATTATCATTACAAGTTATAAAGATGGTTTATAGTAGCTTTTGGTTAGCTAAGAGAATAAACTCAATATCTTGATTATCAATGCAAAAACCCACTAAACCCTACAATTCCTCCAACACCCTAGACCGGGGCCACGGCCACGCTTTCGATTACGCCTGCAACCTGACCTTTACTCATCCTGTTACAGCCTCCTTTAACCATAAAATTTGTTAAGCATATAAATTGATAACTATCATAAAGTTGGAATTTGGGAGTCCCATTTCAAGTCTTTTTAATTACATAAAAATCTGATTTGATTTTTACAGGTGATACACTATTCCTTGGAGGTTGTGGCAGATTCTTTGAAGGTACAGCTGAACAAATGCACCATGCACTGATTGATGTTTTAAGTAACCTCCCAAACCAAACAAAGGTTTTCTGTGGTCATGAATATTCTTTGCAAAACTTAAATTTCGCCTTACATGTTGAGCCTCAAAATGAAAAAATTAAAGAGAAGATTACCTGGTCTAAGCAACGGAGGGAGGAAGGAAAACCAACTGTAAGTAAATAAGAATATCTAATGAATGTTGAGATGTGTTTTCGAGAAGAATTAAGAATAAATAGACCAATTACGATAGGGAATAATATTTAATCAATGATCCTTCATTCATGTTATTGGTCTGATTGTTTTTTAAGGGTGTTATTTTAGGGTTTAGAGGCTAAGGGTAGTCTCTGAGCCCATCAGTGGGTTGATGATGATGATGATAATTCTGCAGATATTAAAATTAAATAGTAGTAGATAGAACACTCCATGTTTGTACATTTCAAGATTTTTTTCTTTCACTAACTTAGTTGTTTAATACCTATTATAATCTCATTTAACACATTTATTGCCATCAATACACTTTGCAAGATGATTTTCAAAGAATAGATAAGATTTTTTCTTCTGAAACTTGACTAAGACAAAGCCAACTTGATAAGATGGTTCCTTTGAATGTTATAAGATATAACTAGAATTAGGCATGAAATGTTTATATTTTGCTATTAATGTAATATTTAATATTTTCAGGTTCCATCAACAATTGCTGAAGAAAAGTTGTACAATCCGTTTATGAGAGTAATGGTACCTTCTGTTATGGAACATGCTAATCAACGCAACCCTATAGAAACTATGAGAGCAATTCGTCTTGAAAAAGATGGTTTCAAGGGTTGATAAATTATTATGTGAACTATGCATTTTTTCATTTTGTTAAATTTCTTGTATGTTTTAAATAATAAATTGTTATAAAAGATCATGTGTAAGAGTTTTGCTCCTGTACTTTTTAAATAACTGTCACTCTTTTACCTCCTTCTCATATAAAAAAAACTTACATATTCCATATCTAAAGAGGTCACAATGTGTTAAAAATATCGGATTTTTAAAAAACATTCTAGTAATTATTAAATAGTTTAATATAACTTAAAGCTGACTATCACAAGAGAGTTACTGCGTTATGTTGGCAGCAATGTCATTGTTCCTTCTTTATGTAGGCTGACATTTCTTCTACATATTTCTCTTTTGATCTCTCAAACATAGCCACATATACCTGAAAAAATCAAATATCCAAATAAGAAAAAACTTACTTGTATATATTATTGGTTATAGGTACTTGTACTTATGGGGTATAAAAGGAAATATGCTTCAATCCACTTATTTTTTTAAACTAGGAATACATTTTTGCTAGTAACTAAGCTATAATTTGGTATGCATAGTATAAAAAAGGATTTTTACAATGTAATTTGTAAGAACTCTTTCTACATAGTTATACAAGTTTGACTAATAGGAATGCTATTTAATGCTACAAATTTTACTTTGACAATGTAGCACAATTGTTGTTCACATTCTCATTTGAAACATGCAAGTTTACTTACTCTCTTTTCTTCATTAGTCAGGTTTCTCCATCTTGAAGCTAATTGCCTCGTTATCTCTTGCTTTGAGGGCTCTGAGCCCATTTCTGTAGCAGTTTCAGCGACAACTAGAGGCCTCTGTTCTTGACAAAATTGGAAGAATGCATTGCATGGTTTCTTCGGTGCATTTGGATCTCTTTCGGGCTACAAATGTAAAAGTTTTTTTATTACATTGACAGTTAATTGATTCTATTACAGAAAAATGTTGTTTTTAATAAATCATCTTTTTCTATCAATAGATGTTATGTTAAAAAAAACTCTAAAGTAACGAAGAGATATTTTCTTGTGTTGATTTACCTTGTCTGCTTTACTTTTTCTTTTTGTGCCTGTTTTCTTGCCTCCAGTTGCGTTTTGCTTATCAGTATTCCTCTGCATGGGCTGAGCTTTGGTTGCAGGGCGAGCGACCCGCGATGTCACCTCAGGCTTAACATCCACCTCCACTGCTGTTGTTCTGAAGGGATCGCCATGTTTATCCAATCGTTCGACCAGAAGTTTTATATCTTTCTTATACCGTTTAGTTATCCTTTTTACTTCATGTATCCTGCAAGGAATGCAATCCTATCACACTTCAACAACACATAAATAAGAACATCGCGCTAAAACACGAACCTATTTACAATTCTTTCGTTATCCTGTTGCAATACTTCACATCGCTCTAACAATAACTGATATTTTCGTCTGCAAATATCTTCCTCGGAAGGTAAACTAACCATATCATCCGAGTCGTCAGAAATATTCGAGTTAATCTGCTGGACTGTCATTTTAAATTATTTCAAAGCTACAAAGTTCAACACAACAAAATTTCTTTTTATTTAGTTGCCGCTCGCCTGTCATTTGTTAAAATTTGTTTACGTTGGCAGCATTGTGTATTTTGATACTCAGATTAAAATAAATATTTTTTTAATCGCTAAATTCCACAACAACAATAAAAAACCTTACAACTGTTAAAGTAATAATTATAATTCGTATACATCTGTTAAGTTTTTAATGTTAATTTATTAAAAAACAAATGAATATCAGCCTTTATCCTCAATTTTTATCACTGGTTTTAGTTTATTTTTTTACTATTCTTCGTAAGTAAGTCTTATTCATGGCAAAAATATACATTACATTATTGCTTATCAAATGAAATTTTATTTTCCTGCTCCTTTAACCTTTATGTTGTCGCAGTATTCGCTAATCACAATTATTGTCGGAGTTTGCGTAGTAGAGACCAGTAGAGATGGTGTAGATCCGACAGAACATAAGGTTGAAATTAACTAAAACATTGACCGTCTTATTATTCGCAAAATATAATGTTTAACGTAAATTTTTGCGTGTGGTTATCTTCTGTTATAAGTAGTTAATATTTATTAAATGATAGTTATCGTGAAAAAATATTTGAGTAAAAATATTTATAATATTGCACAAATGTTTATCAAAAAAAGCAATGAAATGTATTCCGGCTTTCTCGAAAAGAAGTGTTTTTATATATTTTACATTCCTGTTTTTATTATATTTAATTTATCTATTAAATACTTGCTTAGTTGACGAAAAAAAGGTGAGTTAGTATTACTACTTTTTAAAATTCATTTAATTCACTCTGCGTGTATTTTAAAAAAGGAAAAGTGTAAAATGCTTGGTATTTACTTATTCGAAATGATTTTTTCGCTTTCAGTTCAATTTAAAAACATTTTTTAACGCACATCACATATCAAGTTACAAAAGTGCGACGATGCGATTTGTTTCCCTTCTCGGGTACAAAACAGATGATAGCCTTGGAAGTAAATACAGGAGACTGAAAAATAAAAATTTGGTGCCCACTAAAAGACTGCCAGATGCCTTGATTATCGGAGTAAAGAAGTGTGGAACACGCGCTCTGCTTGAATTTTTAAGGTAACTCAAAGTTTATTTACAGATTTTTAAGTGGAAGACTGTTTTAATATCTTTTGACTATGCAGCGTCCACGCTATGGCAGTGTTTTGCCAATTCGCTCGCCTAACTCATTTGAACTACGCGGGACAAGGTGGTGGTTGGGTTCATCGTTTTTCATGACCTTTTGACTTTATAATCGTCTTACTTTTTAATTTTTTTTTAGGTTGCATCCTGACGTGCGTGCAGCCGGATCGGAAGTCCACTTTTTTGATAAGTTCTATCACAAGGGTTTCGAATGGTATCGGTAAGAATATTCAAATAAAACATACTATTCTCTAAGATTACCGTGAGTTATTTTTCACCACTCAACTACATCTCATATACTAGATATCTATTGTAACAGTCTTATGAGTATAAATAATACTCATTAAAATAGGGAGGATGTTAATACTTTTGTCATTTGTTCTCATTAGGGAAAAATCGGTCAAGTTGACACGGCCCACTCGAACTCAGTACTCGAGTTTATGCTACGATTTATTTTATGACGGAAAACAGTAGGCAGAAACGCTTATGTATACATATGTACTTATTTACGACTATGGTTATCGGAAAATAAAACTTTGACAACATTATAAAGCGGAAAAACTTGTATTTATGTATGTATTGAAACTCAAATATTACTGGGCCGATTTCATATATTCTTTCACTATTAGAAAGCTACGTTATCGTTGGGCAACATGGGCTAAATTTTAAAATTTCATCAGCTAGTTAGCAATAAAATAAACTTAGTTAAAGTGTCTTAATTCAATTATAAATTACGATTAAGTAGTGAAAAATGAGTAGTAAAAAATGCGGTCTTTTGTAGAGAGAAGATGCCAGCAACTATAGAAGGTCAGATAACGATGGAGAAGACGCCATCTTACTGGGTGACGCGGTCGGCGCCTCGCAGGGTGTATTCCATGAACCCCGCAATGAGACTTCTTGCGGTTGTACGAGACCCAGTAACCAGAGCTATAAGCGATTATACACAATCTGCTAGGTGAGGATATTCCTTATTCAGAATAGGTTGGTTCGATCAGTGAAATACAAAAAGCTCTCATCTTGCCATCACAGTAAGTGCTTACATACATTTCTAACACGGTAAAAATACAACAACAAATAATTTGCTACTTTACTACAGTCATGCCATAAGTTATACGTTTCATTCAAATATTGAGGTTCTCGAGGTCCAATTCTTTTTATGATAATAGGATATTCTATGACCAGTGGGAAAATCCATATTTTTTTCAAATAACACACTATATGTTGCGACTTCTAATGAACTGCCATAGTGCTATATGATAACCGATTACTTTTTTTCATTGTTCCCGCTACTCACAGTAAAAGGCCCAGTTTGCCGCGGTTCGAGGATTTAGCGCTAGTGAACAGTACCGTGGGCTGGGGCGGGGCGTGGTCCGTGGTAGACGCGACGTGGCCGCCGGTGCGGCTGGGCGTGTACGCGCGCCCGCTGCGCCGCTGGCTCCGGCGCTTCCCTCGCTCCAGACTGCTGCTTATCAGTGGGGAGAGACTGGTCGCGGATCCCGCAGCTGAAATGGCTAGAGTACAAGTATGAACTCCTTAAACTTTCATGGTTTTTACACAGTTAATGTTCGTAAGACACAGATTTCTTACCATGATTGGGTTTTTAAGTACAGTTGTATGTGTCATTTTCACGGTCTGACTAAAGTTATGCGCTAGTGCAAAAATGCTTTTAAGGGTCATACTGCCCATGGTAAGGAACCCGTGTCTCACGAACATTGTAGAAGTATGTAAATATGTTTTAATAAGACAAGCGACTTAACCGTCTTGTAACGAGCGGTTGTAAGTCAAAAATGCTTGTTCTTAAATTGTGGGATCATTAAGAGAAAGGCATGGATCTTAATCATAGTCTAGACTTAACCAAAGACGATGAAAGCAATGTCTTTTGTAGAATATTAAGAAAACAATCTACGATCTTTGCTACTTTTTAAGATTTATAAGTAGAAATAATGATGCTTTATAGTTCAAGAGTATTGCCTGATTTATTATTTTAATAAAACAATAAACAATATAAATTTCTCTATTCCAGGATTTCCTTGGTTTGAAGAGATTAATAACCGATAAACACTTCTACTTTAACTCAACGAAAGGGTTTCCTTGCCTCCTAAAGTCGGAAGGAAAGTCGACGCCGCATTGCCTCGGTAAGACGAAAGGTCGCAACCATCCGTACATAGATCCTGTGGTAATCGAGAGATTGAGGGAATATTATAGACCTTTTAATGAGAGATTTTATGAGTTATCTGGTATTAATTTTGGATGGCCTTGAGATTTATTACTTTCTATTAAAAAAAAAACAATGAGTGTAATAATCTGGCATAAAAAATATAGTAAATGTATACTGCTTCAAATAGTACATTCATGTTTTGTTTTTTCACGCTTAACAATGGTCAAATTATACTATTTATGGGGGTTCCTATTCCGCCGTACGATAAAATAGATAACTAATTTTAGTTCTTAAAATGAAATAGTACAAAATAATAAAATGCATCGGATAAACAGGTTTTTTTTTTGTTAAAAAATGTAAAATTTTATTTGGGTATCCAATGAATATGACTGAAGATATTTTGTGACACTTATTTTAATCAATCCTATTTTTCCCTAACTTATATTATTTTTATAGCAAACAATATGTTAAACGTGAAAATTAGAAAGATTTTTTGTAGAGTAAAGATAAACAAGTTATGTTTTCTATTTTAACATGTAGTCGTAAAAAAACAAAAAGCCCACTAGTGTTTACATTTTAACTCATAATTTCTACTAATTGAATAACTAATATTAGGACATCGAAAATTGTAGACTAGTCCCCCAATCCTCGGATTTTTTTAAATGTGTATAACCTTGACATGACTTGACCAGAGCTATTACACCCTCGCCATATTGCGGAAGAATATGGAACTAACTCATTTGCAAAAAAAGTGATCCAATAAAGGTAATTAAAGTACCATTAGGATAGGATTTTTAGTACCTGTCCCGTTGGCAGATAGAGGCTCATATAGCTTAAAAATGACGACACTGTCAGATAAAGTAACAAAATCAAATTTCCATCGCGTATTTTACATGTTAGGTTGTTATCAATTTAAAATTTGGTGGGACAGTCCTTTAATTTTTTGTATTATATTTTCGGTTAAGCTATACTACGAAATGGTTGTTATAATTCTATCAATATCTTAGTATTGCTTCCAATAGTTAGTAGGTATATATAAATATACAAAGTGTTGTATTTTGCGCTTTAATACTCGTATATAGGATTGCGGTAGAACATATCAAGTTGTAATTAAAGACATTTACGAGATTACTCGGAAATATTAAAACATCAATTGTGGTTTAAATATTTATATTTAATCATACCAGCTAAAGGCTATTTAAAACTTTTTTTTAGATAGGTTAGTCTTGTAGCTTATAGACTAAAAAGGATTACTCGTTATTTAATTTTGTGTACACTGTTTTTAAGTACAATATTGAAAATACCAGACACATTATGCATTTTATAGTGTAGGAAGAATCAAGTTCCTATAGTAATTTTATACCATTGACTAGTTCCTTGTATTGTAGTGTTACTTATACGTGTAACTATATTGTAAACTACGGTTGTGGTATGGTTCTTGGACCTGTAGTTATTTATACGAAAATCTATGAGGGTAGATCTAAACAAATTCAGCCAAGAAAAATCTTGTTGTTTTCAGTACACTTTTAGACTTTAGTATAATCACCGTAATTCCAAATCCTGAATGACATTACTGCAATCTTCAAGTTTTAAACTTGAAACGCATTATTTTTTAAATCTACCCTCTTTACGGTTTGATATAGATAAATCAAAATAATTTATAGATAGACGAAGGTTGTGTATGTAAACGATATAGTTCGTAGGAATTGATTGTTAAGCGGTTTTATTCCATTTTACTTGTTAAATCTAGTCTAGTAATGCACAGAGCCATCCTTATCACGTGCCATACGCTTTTAACATAGCTTTAAATGTTAAATATAATTGTAATAAAACAAATTATACATACAGTTGTTTTATTTTAGTATATAAGTGAATGATATAAATCAGGTTACATTACTAGATATGTGATTAGGTAAACTGAATGGATTTATTTGCACAAAGTTAATTGTGCCGTTGCCGACGATGGCAAAAACTATTCGCACGTCATCTTTGTATTTTGCGTGGAGAGTTGCAATTTCTTCACCGCTGGGGAATGTTGCTGATTCGCTAAAAAATGAAGTTGTAATGAATACGAATGTTTACTTTGTTAATAAATATAGTAATTGACATCCTACACCGGGTATTTTTAGTGTTTGGCCTTTGGACCGACCGAATCTACAGAAAAAACTGTCCCAACGGGAAATAAACCCATTGGGACGATTAATCGATAAACCTAGAACCCCGATGAAACGCTCTAATTTACTCGATTCGAATGTTTTCATTTTTATACTTACTCTAAACAAGATACTCTGAAATGTGGTACAGGACGTTTGGTCTTTTTGAAATTCTGTACATCTCTATTGTACACATCAAAATCTATCGTAAGATTTGTTTCACCAGTCATATCATGAGATTTAATTATGCTAAGTTTTTTCAACACAGAAACAATATCGACACAATCTTCAGGTGCTACCAAAGATCTATTTTGTACGCATTCGTCAGTTGTTTTCCTAAAAAAATCGGCAGTCTCTTCTAGACTACTAAAGAAAGATCCTTTAAGATCGAGCCAATTTTCGTAATTTTCTGGATGAAATTTCATGAATTCGTAAAATAAATTAGCTGTGTTTGAATCATCAGCACCAGAAATTTCAGGTCTTCCAAAATTATTATCGTCCGGTATCCATTCTTTACTTAGATTCTTTTGTATATCAAGATTATCGTCTATGTTAGCGTCTGTTATAAAAGTATCACTACTTGTTCCTGGAGCGTCTAAAGATTTATTACGTTTCTCCGATAGACGTTTTAAAATGTTAAATGGATTCCGTACTTTTTTACCACTAGAGTTGGCGTTTTCATCTATCATGCAATCAGAGTCAGAAGAACTTTCTAGACTTATAAATCTTCTATCTAGAACTTTATAATTATCTGTCACATAAATATCCGCATTGTAAGATTTATTAAATGTTTTGATTAGATTTGAAAATGCTCTTCTGTGCCGTGCGGATGATTTGTCATCGTTTTCGAGTACTTTAAGTCTTTCTGCTAATTGTTTTATATTGTTGAAATTAATTGTATATGTATCAGAATTTGAATCTACACGAGGTTTTTTCTTTATCTGTTCACCCTCATCGTCCAGTTCTATTGTATCTAAAATGTTTGTATCTAGAACAATTTCGTAATCATCGGAGAGTTTAATTTTAAAACCATACCGTGAATTATACGTTTCTATAAGATTGCTTAGTATAGTTAATGGTTGGATATGCACTTGTCCATTCGTCACTAGATTTTTTATTCTAGCAGCTAGTTTAATTATACTTTCAAAATGATAATGCTTGGCATTATCTCGCGCTTTTTTTCTTTGTCGTCGATTAGTGTATGGTCGACTGAAATATCGTGGTCTATTAGTGTTTTGAAATCTAGGGGAATTCTGAAATCTAGGGAAATTCTGAAATCTAGGGAAATTCTGAAATCTAGGGTAATTTTGAAATCTAGGGAAATATTGAAATCTAGGGAAATATTGAAATCTGGGTGTGAATAGAAAATTTCCCATGAAAGGTCTTTGAAAGGACATATTGTAATGGTAGTAATTAGCTCTTAAATATGAATGCCAACAGTTATTTGGTCTGTACGGAGTGTTGTAATATTGCATGTATGGAGGAATTTGATATCTAAAATTGCCTTGGACACTCCCAAAGTTATCTCTATTTGATTCGTCTACCGAACTAGATGTTTGTGTCACTTGTGGGGAGGGGTTCTGCAATTGTTTTGTTGTTAAAGAGCTTAAATTAAGTGTATATGTAGTTTTAGTGAAGGAAATATTGTCTGGAATGAACCTTTTGTCGGGTACTTTTATAGTTACGAGTTCGGTATTTAAAAAACTTGGTAATTCATCAAATAATTTGTGCAAGTTGTCCACATTACATGATCTTAATTGTCTGTTTTTATGTTTTTCTATCTTGTATGAATAGGTAATTGTTTGGTTTTTACTTTTAGGCTTTTTACATTTTATGGTTTCTTCTATTCCATTAGTTTCACAATCTAAAAAAAAAATCTTATACTGAAAATCCCTTAGAAGTTACATGCTTCAATTAAAATTTAATTATTTTAAAAGAAGAATTAATAATTTAATTAAAATTTAATCCAGGCATATACAGTAGACCCTCGATAAGTTAAAGTCCAAGGGAAACACAAAATATTTTAAGTTAGCAAGTTTCTATGTTGTAGAAGTTTTGGACTCTGATAGGAAAGGAACATATTATTTTTTGAAGTTATAGAGGTTTTTAAGTTACAGAGGTTTGAGTTATCAAGGTTCTACTGTAGCTAGTTTACTTAAAAAAGAATTAATAGATTAATTTTATGAATCCTTACCATCTGAATCAAGTACTGAAGATTTTCTTTTCAAATTACATTTCTCTTCATTATTTTCTAATATGATGCTCTCATTATTGCTTTCCGTGACTTCCATATCAAGTTGTTTTGGCAATTCTTGTGAGTAACTTCCTTCCGATTTATTATTTATTTCATTAATTGCATCTGAATAACTTATATCTGTCACTTTTGTATCTGTCATTTTTGTATCTGTCACTTGTGTATCTGTCACTTTTGTATCTGTATGTCTAAATACTTTGAAACCCCATCTACTGAGAGTTCCATACACTTTGTATTGAAGTAATAAATTTTTATCTCTTAGTAACAAAGAATAAGCTTGTTGTAATGAAACTTTCACATCATTATGTTTCAGAAGTAGACTATTCTGAAAATAATTCAAATTGAACACAGATTAAAAAATAATTTAAATGTTGAGGTTAGAGTACCAATTACGAGAATTGAGTTTAAGTCTGAACATGTTGAAACAATGCGAACACAAGCTTCAAGCATATTTAAAAAGTTATTAGAGGTGTTAACATATTCAAAAAAAATCTCAACATTCTTGTTAGAAAATTTTATCAATTAAAATTGTACATAAAACCGGATCATTGTTAATAAAAAAAATATTATTAAACTGTTTAAACTTTAGTGACATATTATTATAAACAAAATGGCTCAACAATGTTAAAATGTAGTCACATACTTAGAAAACCCAAGAAATCTTACTAATATTGTAAATGCGAAAGTTTAGATGGATGGTTGGATGATTGTTAGTTTGTAGCCTAAGCTGCTCATTAGATCTTTATAAAATTTGGCATACATGTAGAGGATAGTCTGGAAGAACACACAGGCTACTCACTTGATTTTTTTTATTCCACATGGATGGAGTCGCGGGCAAATGTTAGTATTAAATAATACCAAATTCACATAAACTTACAATTTCAATTAAAAATAGAGCTTCTTCAGGATATAAATATAATGTTTTTCCAACATTATGTCCCATAAACTGCCAATGACCACCAGATTTCTGAACCACCTCCGCTAACATCAAGTTTTCTTTCCATTCCGCATGACTTAATATACAGCTAAAACAAATAAATTACCATTTCATTTTATTGAACACAATATACCACATTTTTAGTATGATAGTTATTTTGCTAACATGTTCCAAACAATAAAACTTAATGTGCAGGTCTTCTTAGACATCACATAACATATGTACACATTTACTATTGAACACCACTACACAATAGTAATTAAGAAACAAGAAAATACTTCTGAATAAAATTCAATTTACCTTTTCTCAATTCGTTCAGCAGCAATGAGTTGCATTCGAGCATCAATTGCGGACTGTATCTGCTTTGCTTCCAACCAAGAGCCATTAGGAATAACATCTTTCAACCCCAATTCAGGTAAAGTCGCTTGACTTTTAGTTATACCTTTAGCGACAAGGTCGTAACCACTGTAAATATTGAGTTAAAATGAACACAAAGGTGACAATCGTTTTGTTTTATTTAACTAAAATGTATACTAACGATAAAATTACGGGGTTATTCATCGTGCCGCTCTTCTATCAGACACAAAAATATGCTATAAGGTAATTTTTGATACAAATCTTAAAAATCATTTAAGCACTTAGACAACTGGATATAAAACTAAAATAACAAAGACAAAATAAAAATTGATTTAACATTAATAAATCTTAAAGAAACTATAACAAATCAATGATGAGAAGATTGCTCAGCTCACAGATCAGAAAACTGACATGTCAAGGATTCATTTTCGACATTTGACAGTGACATAAACTGACATAAATCAAGGACAAGTGTTGCAAACAAAACATCTAAAGTGTAAATAGAATACTGCCAGCACAAATAATTAGGTAAGTCATGAGCTCTGATCCAGTTCAACAGAACAGTTGAGCTGTGGCTTTTCAACAATTAATTAACAGCTCACAGCTCAACGCCAATACTATAACTATGGAAGCTGAAGAGCTGAGAACTATGACTCGCAGCTCACGCAAATCATACCAGGCAGATACAGGTACAATTCTGATTAGTGTTGGTTTTTCTAATGAAATAAAATACCAGATGATCTTAATGATGATAGTAAGAAAGCAATTATTTTTTTGTAATCAGCTTATTATCCCCATATATATCTTGTTTTCATAATTAGTTATTAAACAATTGCTGTCTTGGGAATTTTTTGTACTTTTTTTTACAGTAAAATGTCAGACGAGCAAGCAGCCACATGAATTCGCTAAAATAGCGAGCGAATAATCGACAGCGGAGAGGACGCACAGAAAATGGATAATTCCTTATATTGAGAAACGAGAGGAGAGACGGGAACGGAAATAGTACAAAAATTTGGTTTCTGGAACATTCAACTAACGAAATGTTGAAAAACGTATACTTTCAGGCCCATTTGCTAATTTTAATGTTAAATGACTTTGGAGATAAAGCAAGCAGTTTTATGTTAGTGTTACATTTAAATAAAAACTAATTTTGATTTTCACAAGGTCCGTGATGTTATGGCGAACTCTACGTGCGGTGTCAAGTTCGTCGACCATTAAATACAGTCGGAGTTGTAGCGTAGGCTACGGTTGTAGACTCGTAGCATCTATTCACGGTAGCGTAGCATGCCTGACGAGTATCGATTAGTCCGTCGGAATAAGCCGAAGACTGCCGAACTCACACGAACACCCCCGGACCAACCCCGTCGCGTCCATAGCGGAAGTAATGAAATGTACAGAAAGATATGAACCGGATAAATTGACGCTCTCCGTCTTCGTCAAAAAAATCATTTCTCTAGCTTACTAGGTCTTTGTTGAATAACTTTACTGTACTATATTTACTTAATAATTTTTAGTTTAATCTTTGAATAAACTAAAGTCGTAGTAAAACAAAATAATTCAACATTTCTACGTTTCAGAATGTACTTTGTTCCAGAAAGATAATAACAGTAGTACCTAGAGTCCCCGCGCTCTGAAATGGAAAAGCGTCATTAAGCTGAAGTTAATTGGCCGTGTGTACGTTAAGAGAGTACTCGAGGATGTCGCAGTAGAGTACACGCTCATTGCGACTGCAGTCGACGAGGGCTGGAGGCGATTTAACGTATTGTAATACGAGTTTATACGACCCGCCGCCCCCTCGCCAGCGAAACCGCCTTGCCAAGTCCATAGCTTAGCTACGACACGCCGATAGTCGTTCGTCCACGCACGTTAAAGCCGGCCGGCATCGATTTAAAGCTTCTAACTCTTGAAATTTCAATTACAATATCGAAAAACGAACATTCACATTCAAGTTAGGCGCATATGTAACTTAAGGGTGGTGCGCCCCCAAGCATACTGTGTTATTTACGGTATATTTTGACGTGAGCTTTTGCTGCCAACTTCAAGTCGTGAAGATAATGGGGTGATGGATAGTGTTATCGGTTGCTTTTCACCGTAAAATGTGTTTTTAATGCTTGTGAATTTGGAAAATCCAATAAGTTTTTTCAGGAAATCATTTGATAGTGTCTAATATATTAAATTTTGTTTTGGACTTACTTTTTGGTCTTTTTTTTATTAAAACTATCTGTGCGTTCTAAAAAGATAATTCTTGTTTAGTTCAAAAGTGTATTGTTTATAATTTTCCCTTCAGTGAAGTGCTGCTTTGGCGTTTACATTATAACCTAAAAACTTGGATATACAACTTTATACTGCTGGTCATTTAAGGTAAGCTTATATAAACAATGATTTATTTTTGTAGAATAAAGTTTTAATTATAAAGATTATAACAGTAAACATATCACTTTATTCAATGTTTATGTGCAACTTAATCTCGTAAGATTATTCAAGTTAGAGTTAGGACTTTTAGTTAATTTTAAACTAGAAAGCGGTTAAGGATATTCCATACTTTGCATGTATTTCTTTTTAAGATGCTCCAATTTTTATTCCCCTTATTTTAATTTTCAATGATTTGTAAACAAGAATTCTAAATTTACGATACAGCGCCATCTTTGATCTCAGTACTGAACTATAAGTAAGTTACGCTTCGGTCCCTGATGGCGGCGCCAAAGTGACACGATCACGTTGCAGTCACGCGGCGTTGACGCGCGTCGCAACATGTTTGCGTGGGTGTAGATCGCTACGTGATAAACAATTTACTGTTTTCATCTTTATAAACTTTAAATTGAGTTAACAACTTTGATATTAACTTATTATTGGAATATAATGCACTGATTTGTAGTTTACATGTGTTATTTGTGAATTATATGAAAGTTTGTGGTGGTGTATGTGTTTTGTTATTTACCGAGTCTGGGATAAGGATTTTGGCGGTGCTGTGAAGGTCTAGGGCTGGCATGAGGAAAATAAATGGTAAGAATTTAATAAGAAATACATGTAATTAATATGAGTACTTGCAATTTATAGGACATGAAAAATGTAGCGTGTAGATAAGAGTCGCAAAGTAAAGTTATGTAGAATTAATAGTAAAGTTTGAACAATATTTAGTTGTTGCAAGTAAATATCGGTTCATTCTAAAATGTAGAGAGGGGAGTTACGTTGGTAATAATAAAAACAACGGGGACAAAATGCTGACTGCGAGTCGTGCACAATGCACTTTGTAGGGGGACGAGTAATATAGTGATGTAAAATGTATTTGTGTCGTTATGTTTCGTAATACGCATAAAACTGTAAAGTTTACGTTTTAAATTGTTTTTGATTTCGAACTCCTAGACGCACTTATGCTGGGTTGCTGAAGTTGCCATTTATTTTATCATTACCTAGTGATTCAATAGTGCTAGTTTGAACTATATTTTAAAGAAGTAAATATCAAATTACGTGGTTCGGAAACACATTTCATGAAGTTATCGAACTAATATACTAAAGAATGGTTAGAAGTGGTTGGGAAACTGGCCATTAGAAGTATTTTTTGTATGAAGTATTTACTTTTAGGGACTTTCAGTAATTCATTAACAATTAGAGTCGTGCAGTAGCATATTTCTATATCCTTACTAATTTTAAAACGAAAGATTAGTTTTTTTTAATTAGTTAAGAATAATATACTAACTCTACTAATGCATTATCTGAGGAATATGAGCTAAAAGTATTCATTACTAGTTTTTTTTAATTATTGACAGTCTCGGGAAAATCTAGTAACGAATGTAATGAAAATAAAGTTAAGTAGAATATGTTCCCATTTTTTATGATTTTGTATGACTTTAAAACGTTATAACATTTTCGAGATATGTAATCTAGCAGTCAAGTTAAAGGTTATTTCATGCCATTTGCAAAAAACGTTGATAACGGTATAATACTTAGTTGATACAAATACGTACGAGATCAAAACCGGACACGTTAAAATCTAGATGTATTTATTTAACATTACACAATATATTTGGATTTTAAAACGTTTGCGTTTATGTAAACGTTATTGAAATTTATGAAAAATAAAATTTAGAGCGCGTGTTGTGTAATATCGATATTGGAGTGAATTTATTTTTAACCGATCGTATAATAGTGGGTAGTTTATGATCTGTGGTGTAGGCGCGTGCTCGAGAGTTCGCTGGCCGAGGCTTATGAAGGTTTCACACGAGGACCGAATGATAGAGAGTACTGTTCTCGTTTGAATGCACACTGATAAACAGTATACTTTAGTGGTAGAGATCAACTTGCACCGATGGCCTGCTCGACCAGTGCAGTACTACGGAAGTCGAAGTGATTCCTTTGTACCAGATGCCAAATTCTAGTCCCCTTTACCTTCTCACAATAGAGTTAGTTAGTTTGTAGAGTTTAATTTGTAGGGTAGGTATAGAAAAATATACTCCATGTACGTTGTTCTAGTCTATTAAAAAAACCCTCTTGGTATTATACGTCTGTGCATTACTGGCACTATCTACTGTTCTGCCACACCGTCCTCGTGTGAAACTAGCATTAGTTACAAGCAGAAAATCAAATAAACAGTCGCTTTCATATCGCGTCTGATGCACTTGTGGCCTTGTGCTTTGCCGTGTGCTCGCACAGACAAGGTTGTCAACTAGTGAATTGTGTAGATAACTTGATCTGCAAGATATTGGAATTGATTGTTTTTGACCTTGTTTAGTTATTAGTTGTTAATGTTTATTTATAGAGTAACAATAAGCATGCTACTATGATACGCTTCGATCCTCTCTCTCGATAAATCATACTATCATACTTCATACTAATTTTATAAATGCGAAGGTTTGGATGGATGGATGTTTGGTATAGATGTAGAGGATAGTCTGGAAGACCACATAGGCTATACACTTTCGTTTTTTTTTTAATTCTACGCGGACAGTCACGGGCGAAAGCTAGTTAACTTTTTTTTGAATCAATACTATTTGTTACTTGTCATATAGTTAGTTCTTCAAATGTTTTTAACAGAAGTTCACGTAGAGCTGTTTGTCTGCTACTGTCCACTTTATTGCATTTTAAAACGTTTTTAAAGAAATAGGTAAGTACAAAATGACATCTTGGTATATTAGACGAAAACAATCGTAGAGTTAACTTGAACTAATATTAACAGACCACTTTTGTCTCGGAACAAACAAGGAAAAAAAGTTTAGAAGTTCAACCTCCTTGTGCGTTTGTTTTGGCCGGTCTATTTGCCATTCATTAGACGACCGAGCAATTTGAAGCGATCATAGGTCCCGTGTGACGGCGATAATGTCATAGTCACCGGAAAATTGATAATACCGCCAGTATGCGATATGACTAGGAAAATTGGAAAGATACAAAAAATTGGTCATCGAAAGAAATTCCCAGATTGATGAGATTATTCGACTTTTTAAACTTTGGTTGACTTTTTTGTGCAACTAATAACAGCGCTGATGACTGCAACTGTCAATGACGTGCCAACCAAGTCTTTATCAGCCTAGATAAATTACAAACTGTCGATCACGATTTAACGGTAACATCTCTATTGATTCTAGTGGTTTGCGGCTGGTATTGACAATGAGCGGTAGTTTAGACGTGGCTACGTGAGCAGGATAATGATGGTCGCGGTACGATTCCCAGTTCGTTGCTCCAATTTTTTATTTCATCTTGTGAATGAGACTGAAGGGACCTTGGCGTGCAGCGTAAAAAGCCTTCATCTCCTTTGTGTAGCCGAACTAATGAATTATTTATTATTATCAATTCAAATAAAATAAAAGACACCATATCCTAATTAATTCTCTAGAGTATTAGATAAGTAAGAATTGTCTATAATTAAAAGTAGAAATTATAAATATGTAGTAATTTTATAAACTGAGAATGCACTGTTGGTTTTCGAGCGAAAAATTCTGAGACGCATCTTCGGTGCCGTGTGTGAAGAAAACCAATGGCGAAGTCGCTACAATCAGGAGCTCTATGACTTGTACCAAGAACTGCACGTGGCGGGACACATTAAATTGAACAGGCTCAGATGGGCGGGCCACGTGGAGCGGATGGATGACACTAGAGTTCCTAAATGCGTCATGACCAGTAATCCTGAGGGCCGTCGAAGTCGAGGGAGGCCAAAGCTCCGGTGGATAGACGGCATAAGTAGAGACGTGAAAACCGTTGGCATAGCGAACTAGAGGACCGTGGCCAGAGATAGGCCGAAATGGAAAAAAATGCTGGACCAAGCCAAGGCCCACAAAGGGCTGTAGAGCTACAGAAGAAGAAGAAGAAGAATTTTATATACATAAAAGATTTGTATTATTAAATGAGTACATTAGAGGAAGTTTGAGAGTAGCCCCAGTAGTTGAGAAAATAAGGAGTAAAAGGTTAGAGTGGTAAGGGCATGTTATGAGAAGGGATGAATCGCATGTAACAAGAAGGATGTTAGTTATGAACGTGGAGGGGTACATCGGTAGAGGTAGACCTAGAAAAAGATGGATGGATTGCGTGAAAGATGACATGATCAAGAAGGGAGTGATGACTGAGATGACGGATGATAGAGTGCATTGGAGGGCGAAAACCCGGTGCGCCGACCCTACGGGAGTAGGATAAGGCAGGGGATCTCCCCTCATCATCTGATGATGATGATAAAAGATTTGTATTTTTGTATGTATTGAAATAACTCAAAAACTAGTGGGCCGATTTAAAAAATTCTTTCACTATTAAAAAGCTACTTTATCAATGAGTAACATAGGCTATGTCACTATTTTTTAATTTTACGCCGACGAAGCCTTAAGCAACAGCTATGCGTATATAATTCTATGAGACCGAAACACGCGTTAAATTTCCAATACAGTGTGCTTTAAAGTGCGTATTCGATAGGTCGATGTGAAATCGATGTAACTGGGCGTTCTCTCGTGTCGCGTATGCTTCGCATGCTGATAGCTGGGGCATTAGCAGTGACTGTCGAGCGTGGTCGTCAATTTGATTGCGAGTAGCGAGAAATTGTCGCTTGGTCGCTCTATATTGCATGTGATCGGAATAAATCGCCATAACCTAAGTTAGTAGTTAGATCTTGGACTCTACGTGACTTCTTATAAAATGTAAAAACAGAGCAATCACTGACATCTATAAATGGACAGGTTAGAAGTGGGTGTACGATTTTTAGAGCTGACGATTACGATTGATAGAGGCAGTGAGGATTCAAACTATAAATAAATAATAGAGACAGAAAAAACTCAATTTCAAGTCTTAATGAAACGAAACCTGTCATTTCCAAGCAAAGATTTATGCATTTAATAGAGACCAGTGAGAGAAAATAATTTACCCTCTACTTATTTAGGGCCCATCCCACCACTGACTGATAAAGACTCAGATAGCTTAAAATTACATCACTGTGACACAGGTAACAAAATCCGATATTTCCATCACATATTTTACACGTTGGATTGTTATTAGACAATTTACATTTTGGTGCGACTGGCCCTTAAGATTGATGTACAAAACACAGCAGACGCAATCTTATATCGAGAATCATATTGACATACTAAAATATACAAAGCTCAGACTACAGATGAATAATATATCGTCTGTTAATGAAGTCAGTTCTCAATGCAAGGAGCAGGTAAACTTACGTTCTCCCGCTTTCCGGAGGGTACCACCCATTTAAACATTCCCAGGGGGTGATAAGGGGTAGGTAAAGTAGGGATGTGCGCCGGTTAATCAAGTAACGTGATCCGTTTATCTAGAGAACTCTTGATATTGTCTAGTGAACGTCAAAGTAAGGAATATTATAAGATCATTATTCGCCGAGATTAGGAGCTCGGGTGTGCGTAAGTGGTTTTAATATGTAATGTAATAACGTGTTATTATTGTCGCTTGAATATTAAAAGACGTGTTATATGCTTATTAAAACTTTGACTAGATTTTATAATGTACTAGCTTTCGCTCGCGACTCTGCGTGGAATTAAAAAATAAAGTAAGTAGCCTGTGTT